CACTCCGCGTGGGAGGAGCACGCGCGCCAGTGAAGAGGGAGCGCCGACTCCCATCATCCCCAGCCACCCTCCTGCAAAGAAAAGGTAATAGACAGGAGGGTGGCTGGAAAATGAGCTGTGTGTGTGTATGTCTGTATGTATGTATGTCTGTCTGTCTGTATGTCTGTCTGCATGTATGTCTGTATGTATGTATGTGTATGTATGGCTGTCTGTGTATGGCTGTATGTATGTATGTCTGCATGTATGTCTGTGTATGTCTGTATGTATGTGTATGTAAGTCTGTCTGCATGTATGTCTGTATGTGTATGTATGTCTGTCTGTATGTATGTATGTATGTATGTATGTGTATGTCTGTATGTGTGTGTATGTCTGTCTGCATGTATGTCTGTGTATGTATGTCTGTATGTATGTATGTCTGTGTGTATGTGTATATCTGTATGCATGCATGTATGTCTGTCTGTATGTATGTGTATGTATGTCTGTCTGCATGTATGTCTGTGTATGTATGTCTGTCTGTATGTATGTCTGTGAATGTCTGTATGTCTGTATGCATGTATGTCTGTCTGTCTGTATGCATGTATGTCTATGTAGGTCTGTATGTCTATGTCTGTCTGTCAGTCTGTATTTATGTGTATATCTGTATGTGTATGTATGTATGTCTATATGTGTATGTATGTATGTCTGTATGTATGCATGTCTGTCTGTATGTATGTCTGTTTGCATGTATGTCTGTCTGTCTGTATGTCTATGCATGTATGTCTGTCTGTATGTATGTCTAATTGTATGCATGGATGTATGTCTATGTATGTATGTATGTCTGTCTGTATGTATGTCTGTCTGTATGTATGTCTGTCTGTGTATGTCTGTCTGTATGTATGTCTGTATGCATGTATATATGTCTGTATGTATGTCTATGTATGTCTGTCTGTATGCATGCATGCATGTCTATGTGTATGTCTGTATGTCTGTCTGTGTGTATGTCTATGTATGTCTGTTTGTCTGTATGCATGCACGTATGTCTGTCTGTATGTATGTCTGTATGCATGCATGTATGTCTATGGATGTATGTATGTATGTCTGTATGCATGTATGTCTGTCTTTATGTATGTCTATGTATGTATATATGTATGTCTGTATGTCATTATATATGTATGTCTGTATGTCAGTATGAATGTATGTCTGCATATCATTATGTCTGTGTGTATGTGTGGATGGATGTCTGTATGCATGTATGTCAGTCTGAATGTATGTATGTCTGTATGCCATTATGAATGTATGTCTGTGTATGTCTGTATGCCATTATGAATGTATGAATGTATGGATATCAGTGTCTGTATGTATGTATGTGTGTGTGTGTGTGTATGTATGTATGTCGGTGTCTGTATGTATGTATGTATGTGTCTTTATGTCCTCATGCATGCGTGTCTGTATGTATGTTAGTATGTCTGTCTGTCACTATATATGCCTGTGTGTATGTCTCATTATGTGTGTGTCAGTATGTATGCCTGTATGCATGTATGTCTGTTTCAGTATGTGTGTCTGTTAGTATGTATCTGTCTGTGTGTGTATTCCTGTGGGCAGTATTTGGAGGCGGGCCCCAGGAGGCCCAGACCCTGAGCTGAGGTAGGGACCCCATAATTTCTGGTGGCGGCCCTGCTCACAAACCATACATCTCAGCCACACACTGTCTAAAAAACACCTGGATCGGAAGTACCCATCCCAAACAACAGTACTTTAAAGTTCCACCTAGTGATGGCTAAATATCTATCTGTCACAGAGTGTCATTGGACAGGGCTCATAGTCTGTGTGCAGGAGGCTGGCCTCCAAGACCCTTCAGGGATACAGGGGCTTCTGTCATGTGTAATATAACAAGTAACAAGTTCACAAATATTTAATCTCAGTCTGTTTAAACTAATTGCATTTTTTATTTTTCAGGACCTGGTACGAAGGCAAAGTGTTGATCTTCGATGATTCATTTGAACACGAAGTGTGGCAGGATGCCAATTCTTACCGGTTAATATTTATAGTGGATGTTTGGCACCCAGATCTTACACCACATCAACGACAGACCCTTCCTGCTATTTAGATAGAGAAAAAGTTATTTCACAATAATTAAGTCAAAACCCATGAAGGAATTCAGATCTATAAATAACCACAGGCCATTTTTTCATTAAACTTTCCAGTAATTTTCTATACTGTGGAAAAGGATCTGGTACTCTGCTATACTATTCACTGTGATTTTGACATAGCTGCTGGTATTTGGTACTGGTTAGTACCCTAGATAAAGGCTCTGATGTTTGTTTGTTTGTTTGTTTGGAGGTAAATCAAAGCCCATCCACTGTTTGTGGACTGCATTTTCCATAATTCACTGCTGGTCAGATTATAGCTGAGAATTATGGGAAATCTGTTACAACAGCTGCTCTGGATCTAAGGTTTACCCTATAATGTAGAAAGTGCCAAGATTCCATTTGCAGATATATTTTTGAATGGACTGTTATTTGAAGTCACTTATATTAATAACAAAAACTATAGATAAAATTAAGCAGCGTAATATTTTTTCATACTTGTTAAAAAATATATTTTTTATGTAAGAATTAAATGCAACCACTATATTTCCCACGCAAAAAAAAAAAAAAAACTGCACTGATTAAATATTTTTATTTAACTGTTTTGCTTTATAATGATCAACGTTGCTTGATTTAATATTTCATTCCTCCAAATTATGGTGACCACACTTACCTAGTGGCTATGAAAATGTGTTTGGAAGGTATACATTAAAATCAGTTCTAACCTGTATAGTGTTTACTTTTCCTATCTCAGTGCCATCCTACTAACTAATCAGGAGGACATATATCATACATATGGGAAAAATATGTTTAACAACCTTTATTATACATGTTGTGTTTTCCTCCATTGTATGTATAGACTTTGTGAGTAGCTTTCTTATTTTGTTTCTTACTACAAACTGTTTATTTTGTGCTGCGTATATTAAAAAAAAACCCAACAGATTTCTTTTTTCAGACCTGCCATATTAATTAGCGTAATTTTGTACTACTTAGCAAGACTTTGATTTTTCACAATTCTTTAATAATAAGACGTATAGAAGGTTGTAGACACCACTCGAGTCACTCTAGAAACCCCCAGCTTTACTGCTAAATACCTCACCATATACAGAATTCAAAGTATGTTTCAAATTTGAGGTCAAAATTGTCAAACTAGAAATATTCTCCAAGTGAGCTATGCTTTCTGGCTTTAAATGTGAAATTCTCTTTGAATTCTTACTTTAGTAAAATAACCCTTTAAAGGATCACTATAGTGTCAGTAAAACAAACTCGTTTTCCTGACACTATAGCATCCTCAGAGCCCCCCTCCCTTTGCGGTGAAGGGATTACAACCCCTTCAGTTACTTACATTAATCCAGCGCTGGTGACCTCTCCTCCCTGCCGACGTCAGCCCCCGAGTGGAGCGGAATGCACATGCCTTCAAACAGTCCATAGGAGGCTGGATTAACCCTGCAATGTAAACATAGCAGTTTATTTGAAACTGCTATATTTACATCTGAAGGGTTAAAACCTGGGGGACCTGGCACCCAGACCACTTCATTGAGCTGAAGTGGTCTGGGTGACTATAGTGGTCCTTTAATATTTCTAGAATGGCTGGTGTTTGTGGAATAATGGAAGTAGTGAGTGCAGTATTTTCTGTTTCATGTTACATTTTTTATGTGGAATGTAGAATTTCATATGACATTTTTTGGGTGGGTTTACATTTGTTACATTCTATTAAATCATGTATAAAACCTAGTGCCAGCAACTTTCATACTGTGTTTAGTCCTCTTCTATTAAACAGTAATTTGCACAATTCTGTGGTATGATGTGAATATGCCTTTAACACAGAGTGCCATTTGAGTATTGTATATTAAATATATTTTTGCCTAACAAACCAGTCATAAGGTATGTGGGCATAATTGCAGGTACATAAAATCCTGTTTTATTTTATAGTTTAAAAGATTATAAGTCCCAGTGATTCTTACATCTTACAAGCTTCATCTACTGCATGGACTTGAATATTGTTTGTTATCACTTGTTTATATATAAAAAAAAAAAAGCTTTTAATATATTGTGTACACCCAGTAAACTACTTGCTTTGTCCAGAACATTATATGATACTTTATCCATTTGGAGTCTATAATTGCAAGAGCAACCAACAGCAGCAAAACTTGTTATAAACCTTGCCTAAAAAGGACACTTACGCCCAGTGGCGTACTAACCGGCAGGGGGTGCCATTCAGCTGCGACCGAGCAGCACAACATAATTGTGTGAAGGAGAAGAAGGGCGGAGGCCATGTGGACGTACTCCGCCAGTCTGCCTTCACACTCATCACACAGCATCAGGCATTGGGGGGGTGGAGAGGGCGGCGGCAGTACCTGTCATTAATTGTGTCTGCTTTTTTTTTTTATGGGTGTAAATTAATGGAACAGGTGATTTGTAGGGGGGAGCAGTGATTTGTAGGGGTGGCAGGGATTTGGGGTTTTGTTGTGGGTGCCAGGGGTTTGTAGGGGAGAGCAGGGATTTATAGGGGGTGGAAGAGGTTTTCTGGAGGGTGGCAGGGGTTTGTAGAAGAGCCGTGGGTTTTATTGGGTGTGGCAGGGGTTTGTAGGGGGGAGCAGGGGTTTTCTGGGAGAGTGGCAGGAGTTTGTAGAAATGGGCAGGAGTTTGTAGAGGAGCCATGGGTTTTGTTGGACGTGGCAGGGGTTTGTAGGGGGGAGCAGGGGTTTGTAGGGGTGAGCAGGAGTTTGAAAGGGGTGGCAGGGATTTTCTGGTGACAGGCAGGAGTTTTGTGGGAGAACAGGGGTTTGTAGAGAGTGGAGACAGGGGTATGTAGAGAGTGGGATCAGGGGTTTGGAAGGGGGGCAGGGCTTTGTATAGTTTGGCAGGTGCTTTTTTGGGGGGCAGGGATTTTTGAAGGGGGACAGGGGGTTTGGTAGAAGGGGGGGAGGCCATGCAGCAGATTGTGAATGTATATATATATATATATATAAAAACCATAAAAAACTCTGGGGGGGGGTGTGCCAATTACAGGATTTGCCCCGGGTGCCAAATACTCTAGGTATGCCCCTGCTTACGCCTTACTCTATAGTAGGCAAAACAAACATAAAAATATTACATTCTGGGGCCTTTACGTCTGTGTGCTAGAATTTAATGTCCAGTTTATTTAACATCACCCAATCAATGTATCCTTCTTCATGAAAGATGAACAGGAATAAGATTTATTTTTATATCTTCTCATGACATTGGCCTTAAACCTCCCGTACTTTCAAACATACACAAATTCCTTCTAACTTGCTTTCACTTTATCAGCTATAATTGTATATTCCGTGTCAGTAAACATTGAAAAAGGTGTGTCACTATGGCAACATAAAAATATGTTTTTCTCCTATCAAACAGTGTCTATTTAAGGGGTTTAAATTTAACAATTTCTTACTTTTTGTGTTGGGATTAAATGGCTAATTATATAATATGGGTATGTTTTAGGACATTATACTATAAAAGCTCTGGCATATGAATCGAGGTCAAACATTTCTTTGTTCGATATACAGTATTGCTTGAATGACAATGTAAAAGTCATTCAAGTAGTAATGTAAAAAAATGTCAGCCTTTTATTTTAAACTTAATGGGACACTGTCATCATTTTAATATTGTAATACAATGTTTATAATACATTCATGCATATTGAGATTGTGATCAGTTGCCCACCTTTCCCACTCCCCATTTCTGACAGCCACCTCTGGGCACTTTTAATTGGATTGTCAGTTACCGGATTCAGTGCTCACAATTTAGCAATTGTTTTTACTTTTCAAAATCGCCTGATTTTCTTAAAAAAAATTAAAATTAATAAACATGAATTTTTAAAAAGAGATGTATAAAATAACATCACTTATATTGAGATGGTAAAAAGGCAGTATCAGTGTTCCTTTAATTTTTCCTCTTAATCATGGATCTCAAGTAAAGCATCAAGCCTATTCATCAGCCAGTGAACGAAGCACTGGATTTTTTTTAAATGTATTACTATAGAATTGTTTGCAGATATGCATGATGACAAGACATCTGATGTTAACATGCAAAAGCACGTTGGGCTGATGACATCACAGCACACCTACACTTGCATCACAACCATCTATTATGTCATCACACTTATTTATATGTGAATCTGATGCTAAATAGGAGCTGGATAGGGAAGGATCTTGCAGACAATTTCTAGTTAAAGGACCACTCTAGGCACCCAGACCACTTCAGCATAATGAAGTGGTCTGGGTGCCAGGTCCCTCTAGGATTAACCCTTTTTTTTTTATAAACATAGCAGTTTCAGAGAAACTGCTATGTTTATAAATGGGTTAATCCAGCCCTCAGAGCCTCTAGTGGCTGTCTCATTGACAGCCGCTAGAGGCGCTTGCGTGATTCTCACTGTTAAAATCACAATGAGAACACGCAAGCGTCCATAGGAAAGCATTGTAAATGCTTTCCTATGAGACCGGCTGAATGTGCGCGCAGCATTCTGCCGAAAGGGAGGAGTGGAGGAGGATCGGAGGCGGAGAGCTCCCCGCCCGGCGCGGGAGAAAAGGTAAGTTTTAACCCTTTCCTCTCCCCAGAGCTGGGCGGGAGGGGGACCCTGAGGGTGGGGGCACCCTCAGGGCAGTATAGTGCCAGGAAAACTAGTATGTTTTCCTGGCACTATAGTGGTCCTTTAACTGAGAAAGAGAAATTTTAGTATTGAAGACAAATTTTTAAAAAACTATTTTTGCTTACAATATGTTTAGCTGTTCACAAACAAAACACTGTTTCTTTAAATATTGCTTGTATGACTTTATATGAGGACTGGCTAAGATATGTGAATTGTTTTATAATATATTTTGTTTGTATGATATTACTACTTTAATTGTCACTACATCTTTTGTGCACGTATATAAACGCTAAACATACTTCTATTAATGTTATGCTGTGTGACGAAGTGCCCTTCACCACTTGTGCCTGGAGAGGACTAATTACCAGCCACAGTGGCGTACACATGACCCATGGGGCCCCGGTGCGAAAATTGATCCGTGGCCCCCCCCCGCGCGCGGGCCGGGCCGCAACACATGGCGGTGGGCACCTGGTCGCAGGGGTTACAGGGCTGCGACCCCTGCGACCGCGGTATGTACGCCAGTGCATGCAGATGCACACACACTTAAAGGACCACTCTAGGCACCCAGACCACTTCAGCTTAATGAAGTGGTCTGGGTGCCAGGTCCAGCTAGGGTTAACCCATTTTTTCATAAACATAGCAGTTTCAGAGAAACTGCTGTGTTGATGAATGGGTTAAGCCTTCCCTATTTCCTCTAGTGGCTGTCCCATTGACAGCCGCTAGAGGCGCTTGCGTGCTTCTCATTGTGATTTTCACAGTGAGAGCACGCCAGCGTCCATAGGAAAGCATTATGAATGCTTTCCTATGTGACCGGCTGAATGCGCGCGCAGCTCTTGCCGTGCGTGCGCATACAGCCGACGGGGATGAGAATCGGAGGAGGAGAGCTCTCCGCCCAGCGCTGGAAAAAGGTAAGTTTTACCCCTTTCCAGAGCCGGGCGGGAGGGCACTATAGTGCCAGGAAAACGAGTATGTTTTCCTGGCACTATAGTGGTCCTTTAAAGGACCACTACAGACACCCAGATCACATCAGCTCAATGAAGTTGTCTGGGTGTCAGGTCCCTCTAGTTTTAACCCTGCAGCTGAAAACATAGCAGTTTCAGAGAAACTGCTATGTTTCACTGAGGGTTAATCCAGCCTCTAGTGGCTGTCTCACTGACAGCCGCTAGAGGAGCACACTGAACGTCCATAGGAAAGCATTGAGTAATGCTTTCCTATGGGGTTTGAATGCGTGCGCGGTCGCATTCGGAGCTGAGAGGCTGAGGGATCCTCAGCGCCAAGGGAGTCCGGCGCTGGAGAAAGGTAAGTGCTGAAGACACACACACACTTACAGGCGCATACACACTAGCTAACAGACACACACATTTACTGACAGAGACACAGTCAGCGACAGACATACATACACACTCACTTACAAAACATACACTCTCATTGACAAACACACACTCACTAACAGACATCAAACAGACTCACTAACACACACACACTCAGTAAGACACACACAGTAACACACTCACTGACACTCACTAGCAGACACACACACTAACACACTAACACTCACACTAACACTCACTAGCAGACACACTAACACTCACTCTAACACTCTCACACACTAACACTCACTCACACTAACACACACTAACACTCACCCTAACACTCACTAGCAGACACACTAACACTCACACACACTAACACTCACTCACACTAACACACACACATGATTTTAAAAAAAATGTTTTTAATGTAATCCCCCCAGCCTCCTTACCTTTTGGAGTGCTGGGGGGATTCCCTGGGGTCCAGTGGTGCTGCTGGGCTCCTGGGCGGGCAGGTGGCCGGTCGGGCGGGCGCGCGAGGGAGCACTCACTGCTTCCTCTTCAGCTCCCTCGCGCGCCGCGTAGGGATGCCGGAGCCGGAAGATGACGTCATCTTCCGGCTCCGGCATCAGTGCGGTGCGCGAGGGAGCTGAAGAGGAAGCACTGAGTGCTCCCTCGTGCGCCCGCCTGCCTGCCCGACCGGCCATCCGTTGTCAGCGGGGCCAGCCTCAGGGGGGCCCTGGGGTGGTCGGCTCCTGGGCCCCCCAGGGGAAGAGGCTGGCCCTGGGCGTACATACAGGGTCGCAGGGGCGGCCGGGCCCCCTGGTGGGCCGGGCCCGGTCGCAGTCGCGACCCCTGCGACCCTGTTATGTACGCCACTGACCAGCCACTTGCCGTATGACTATGGCCCCTGGGAGATTGTGCCAGTTAGAAACACCATTTGGACTTATTGGTGGTTTAAAAGACTGTTCTGGCCCTTTAAATGGTACTGGCACAGTTCTGCAATTTCCAAACTCTGTCTGACCCTTTTAACTGTCATTTTGTTTTCCTCTGAGGAGGAGTTGTTTTGCTGCATGAGTGCTGTTGCTTTTGTGTGCTCATTAAACAGACCTGCTTGACCCTTTCTTGAAGCCTTGGCTCATGCTTGGGGGATGGGATAAGTCTGCAGTGCTGATGGTGTCAGTTGGAGTGCTTGGATTCCTCGGCAACCACTAGGAGCATCGATTGACGGAGGTACTCGGTCGAAGTGCCAGCGGGCCCGTCACATGCAGTATCATATTTATAATTGTAATGTACTGATACTAATGTGTATACATTTATTTTACTGTTAAATGTATATGCATTGTTTTATAGTCGTGAAGTGTTACCTATATTAATCAAGTCTTGGTATTCTTCAACAATGAAGAATATAATCCCATTAATTGGTCATTGTGAGGTTTTAAAACCTCTATTCTGTTGAGGGTTCCCGTTAACTTTAACTGAAGTTGTACCTATTTGGAAGAGACATGGAAATTACACATAAAGCAAACCAGTAAAGATTTTCAAATTATTTTAATAAAAGAATGTTAGAATTATGACATAGAGGCTAATAAACCAAGCTGAGTATGTGATTTGATGAGTTTTAGAAAAACCTCTTAAAGGGGAATAATTGGGTTTACATAACACGAGACTGTGTAAACACTACTGTACAAATAAGATAACAGAATATGAAATCATTATGATTGAAAGAACCTGTTCTTGAATAATAAAAATCTAGTGTACTTTTTTAACATGCATGTTACCTTTATATTGACATAGTGTTCTTAGCCTCAAGTTGGCCTCCAAATCCTGTCATCACACCAATGCTGTTAAACGAACACTCAAAGCACCATAACCACTTCAGCTCACTGGTGTGCCAGTCTGCCCTTGTGCATCCCATTTTAAGTAATTTAAAACATGTTGAATGCCTCCACTACTTGCGCCAAAGACAGCCAAAAGCTCCTAAGCAGAAATGTCCATTAGGTCTCCTGAGCAAAGACCTGCAGTGCAGGGCATGGCACATTGGATGAGAGTGATCAGCTTTCACTCTCAGCCAGTGAGAGTTCCTGCTTAGAAAATTCTGTCTCTTTGGCTTTAGTAGTGGTAGGTGAGTGTCATCCAGCAGAACCCAGATAAGAGGTCAAATGTTTAAAGACTGGTTTGACTGCTTACAATAGGGTGGATGCCAGGGATCTCCAGGAGCCATAATCACATCAGTGATATGTAGTGGTTATGGTGCATGGTTTGTTCCTTGAGTTATAGTAAGTCTGGCAAAATTACTTGAGATACTTTGATGGATATCAACCAATCCTCCTGGAAAAACAGTATCAAATTATATCTCCCATGATTCTTTTATTCACACTGAGAACAAAATCCAGTTTGCACAATTTCCTCTAAAATATCAAAGCTGTGAGAATGTCTTCAAGTCACCTATTTTTGCCTTAATATTGCAATTTGTGTTTTAATTCACTACATTTGAGTGTTTAGAGAATAAACCATTTAGTGTCTTGTATTAGAGATTTTTTTTTTTTAAACCTCACCGTAAAACTGTAAGTTACATGTTACCTGTTACAAGTGTATGTTACACGTTTTATTGTTGTTTTAAGATCCATAACTCATATTGTGTACTAATCAAATATAAAATCATTAGCCATTCTCGTTTACTAGCTTGCAATTGATTTTTTTGTTTAAATAAACACAGACATACTTTTCCATTTCAGAAAGATTATGCATTTTTCAGCTTTGCAAAATGCTTAATAGACTAGAACACGCTGCTGCTATATGTTATACAACTAATATATCAGCTTGCTAAAAGATCCGTATGCTATAGCTTGTGTTTATAAGAGAAATCCCAGCTTCCTTATGATAATTTTGTAGATATTTTTATTTGTTAACAGAATTGCTGCCTAATATAACATTACATTACAATTGCACTGAGCCTTGTTGAACAAATATCAGACATTCGTACTTGTTTCGCTAGCTCGTTCTTTTATTCAGTACCTTGGCCAATGTGATTCATTAGTTACTATGGGGGAAAAGTGATTTCTGTGTGTTTAGAAACATGTTGGCATCACATACAAAATAACGTGTCTTCATTTCAGGAGTAACACTTTGATGAATGAGTTGTTTTCTCTTCTCCTGATACCATGCTGTCAGTCTAAATTTACATATAAATATAACAATTTCCCGACCTCACAAAAAAGCTGTGCAATTGTGTATTATTTTATTGTAGATTGATGGAAAGTTTGAAATATTTGTTTTCAATTTTATTTTAACTATGACTGTTAAAAAAAAAAAACTATAACTATGAATGTGCTTTTAGAAGCAGAAATCACATTCTTTTTATGAAACTTTTCTGTTGTGTATCTTGTTATGTGCTTTCTGACATGAATGAATAAAGTTTAAAATATTTTCATCTGCCCCCCTTTTTTTTTAAAGTACTCACTGCAAATGTGCTTATTGTTCTTGTTTCATTGTTGAGAATGTGCACGTTTAAAAAGTTTTTTTAGTTTTTTGAAGCAATCTTTTAAATTGTGAAACCGAAATTGATCAGGCTAGGATATGGGAGCAACACATTGTTGATACTCCTCTGTCATTCTTGCCCCAGAATGTCTATAGTGTAACAGTGGAGGGGGTGTGACACTTTCTATATGGATATATATTACAGCTCTCAATCATTTTCCAATTTGTAACATAATAGCTGAGTTTAAAGGTAAAAAAAACAGGAGCCTTTAACATCTTTGTCAATCTTGCTTTTAAAGGACATGTACGAGTTTTGCTCCCATTACTGTCCCATAATAGTCATATATATTACCTTCCAAGTTCTATTGGAAACGTGATATGGACTTGAAGGGTAATTTGTCAGCAAGCACTGTCGAAAGCTAAATTTTTATGTGTTCCTAAGTATACACAAACCTAAAATTCTCCATCAGAATTAGACTAAATCCATCATCATACCAATTAGTGTCTAGTGATGTATTAAAGTCTCCTTATTCAGAGGCTCATCATATCTTTAAAATAAGTGCAGGATTGAATGCAACACATGACAAATCATTATTTAATTACAGGAGAAAAATGCAATATTGCAAAAGCTGATGGATTTAACACTAGAAAGCAAATTGCAGGAAGAACTAACAACCACTTTGGAACATTTAGGTAAAACCAGTTGAAAAACATTCAGCAGTCCAGATATGCTTTTTTAGTTGCTTCACTGTACAGACCGCAATATTTTTACTATTGTGTAGACGTTTGTCTTAAACAGCTCACCTTTATTTTCTTCAGATATGTTCTATATTTTAATTTAAATTGGAAAAGACTGTGCATTAAATTGTATATTCAGATTCACAGATAATGGCCTTAACACATTAATGGATTTTACGAATGGTAAAATTCTAGTGGTTCCAGCGACTATAATTTTAGAACCAAGAGATGACCTACATACAAATGAGCTTTCTCTCCACATCTGTTGGGCATTTAAATAATATATTTGCACACATGCCTTTCTCTGATGCTGTTCTAGGTTAAAAATTAATTTAAGAATCAATCAAAATCTCAACATTTCTCTGCATACATTTTTATTTCAATGATGTGGAACATTGTGCAAATAAATGAAAAAAAACAAAACAATCAGAATCTTTGGCACCTTAGGTATACATGACAAATGTTGCATTTCTGTACCAGCATGAAACAAATAACTATGGGCATTTTGGCGTTGAGAATCTGAAGATTGGCTACATATTGTTTAATAAAACATTGTCTATATAATGGTTCAGTGTGACAGCTATGGGAGGTGTAACTTATTAAGGAAAGTGTAGGACCCTCCTTTAAGTTTAATACCAGATTGATCTGTCTTAACAATATTTACCTTTGTGCGTAAATGCTTGGATAGGGACATAAAGATTTGACTAAATATAATCAATCTAGATTTTTGAGGGTTTTTTGATCATGGTACATGGTCAAAATGTTCAGTGAGATGACCTCAGAAAATTTTTCTATGTGTCATTTCCAACAAACATGAGTTTTTACAGTAATTTTCAAATGGTAGTTATTCAGAAACAAGGCTTGATTTATTAATCGTTTGAAATGTCAATGTTAGTCCATGGGTTAAATTATTAAGCTAATACAATAGGATATCACTGATACAGCAAAATTCCATGTTATTATGATTGCCTATGTGAGGCATGTGGCATAAGTGTTCAGTGAAGATAGCTAAACAAGTAGTCTCCCAACTTATGTAATATTTAACACTTTTACTCGCTGAGTATGAACAAAGCACAGTGGCTAAAAAAAATTATATTATTTTTGCATTTCTGTCCATGATTTCCTTTTATTATTACTTGGGCCTGGATACTCTGTAAATTAAATTAAGAACATAAGGAAAATATATATTTTAACACATACATTTTACTACTGCACAGGATGAAATGTTTTTATTGTACTAGATTATTCTCAGGGTGCCGTGTACCATCTGATTTGAAACTTACAGCTAATTCTAGGGACAAAATATGGCATTCCAATGCTGAACTGCCACTTTCATGGGCTGGCTAAGAGGTTGGACATCATTAATTGCATCAAATCTGGCTACCCTGGTATCTTTGTTCTGTGTTAACAAGTTCCCTGAAGACACTCCGTGAGTCACGAAATATTTTATCGTTACAACAAACATGTTTGGACAAAATAATTGTTGACAATTTTCTGCTGGTGATTTATAGTCAGTACAAGACAAAATATCACGGGTCTTCATACAAACATATTTCTTTGATAATATAAAAATACTGACTATTAACTCTGTCTTAGACAGACATTGCCTACAATTCATTAGCTGAGCATATACCTTGTAACGCAAAAGGCTATCATGTACTTTATCTGTGTCCTTTTTGGCAGTAAAAGACTCTTCTGTAGATAAAGTTGCTCCTGGCATTGATGTTGGCACTATGGCAATTAAATAAAATAGGTCTCTGCACAGCAACAACTTGTGCAAATAGCTGGTGAATATTTTGCAAAGTGAAAAAATAAAGACCCATTGGTGAAAACGGTGGTTGTGGTGATGCAGGTTGAATCAGTCCAGGGCAAGCAGTGGTTGGGTGTTTTCATTGTCTCTGTGGTCCTCACGCATCAGTGTGCCAGGCTCCACCACTGATTGAGATCTGAAAGAGAAAATACATGCCTTGCATAATGCCAATCTAAGTTATAATACTATTTCTAAGCAATACTATGCAAGATCCAGTGCTTTTTCGAATCCTGGAAGAATTGCACAATATATTAAAGGGACTTTATGTATCAGTTTAACTTATTGGAATATGCTGATGGCAGACTACTAACAATCTATTAAATCTTCTCCGAAAGCCAGGAGGGGGATTTCAAAGTCATACACAATTCTCAAAGCATTTTTTTTTAAAAACAAATAATAATTTTCAATTCTCAAGACAAATCACCCATCTATTGGGGAAAAAAAACAAACATAAGTTCACATATTGAGAAACAGAAATATCCACTTCAAGCTCAATGATCTGGTTACTGCAATTACGTGTTCAACATACTGTAAGACAATTTGTAACTACTACCGCACAGAAGTTTATGGAGGGTCCCACAAGATGCAGAATCCTCCATAAACCAACTGTCACAATATCAGATACCTGTTTCATTACGCATACTGTTTTGTAAAGAAATTCCAAACAGGATGAGTATATCATAAATATTTTATTCTCAAAAGTGACTGGGACGCAACAGAGCTACATTAATACCTACAAAAAAAAAAGTAAAAGTTGCAAGCAATAATACTTAAAATTAACTTAAACTACTAATGTCTAAAGTGATCAAAATAAATAAAATAAAGAAATAATATTCTTGTTCATTTTTTATTAGGTGATTCTCTCCACTTCAATTGAACTATATTGTTTTATGCCCATAAATCAGTTGGATCTCTATTATGCACAATTTTACAATTGGCAGAAACCCTATGGTTCTCACATGCAGATTTTATACTATATATTTGTTAATTTATTTGTTTCCGCAGTATTCTAAATGCCACTCTATTTTAGATGTTGCTAGCAGAAGAGCCTGGTTCATAAGGGCATTTTATGTTAAATAAAAATCTATTTGCAGTGTATGAACTAGTGAGAACAGTAAAGAAACCACAACAGTGTCAGTTAATAATAAAGTGGATAGTCAATACATTGTTAAACGCAGGTCAAGCCATAAGACTTGCTTTTCTCACAGAAGTCTCACATTTGCATTGATGTTACTATTGCAAGGGATTCTGGGTGAACATATGCAAATTAGTTCACATTAGTTCAACTTGGCATTACTTGCAGAGCACAAACCAACACAAACTCCAAGGATCCATGTTGGAATAAAATAAAATGGAATAATGAGGCAATAGTAACACCTGCAAATTTGAGATTTCAATCACTTCACCCCCCCACCCCCCCACCATAACATTCTTGGTTTGTGCTCTGCAAGTAACACCAGCCCTTAATAGCTTTATGCTGATTAGTTGCATTAACAATGAAACAGCTGTCCATGAGTGATTCACTGGCTTTGTATATCTTCCTAAGTTGTGTTTTAAAGCTGTTTTACAGTTGTATGTACAAACATAAACTCCAAGGAATCCATATTTAAAAGGGAATAACAAGGCAAAAATTTGATTCTTTGGGGAACTAATTTGCATATGCCCACCCAGAATCCCTTGCAGTAGTAACATCACTGCAAATATGAGATTTCTGTGGGAAAAGCAAGTCTTATGGCTTAACTGGTGTGCAGATCTGTGTTTAACATTGTATTGACTATGCCCACCAGGACTTTTTTTGGTTTGTGCTCAGTTAATATTAAAAATATACAAACAACTGTGATCTACCTTCACTTTAAAACTTTGTATACTTGGTGGGGCTTCACCTACTGGTGGAGTATACAAAGCACGTGTGTGTGTGTGTGTGTGTGTGTGTGTGTGTGTGTATATATATATATATATATATATATACACACACATCATAATGACTGATGCTGCTATTTCAAACTCTGTTGGAATTATGTTTACACATGTGGTTAGTTAATACTATTTATTTTGAATAATTATATGTTTCTTGCCTTTTCTCTACAGGTTATTTCTGAAGCACTTTATGACAACTCAATCAAATAAAGACACTTATATTGCACAGCAGCCATGTCATGTTGGTCTTGCGATGTAAAATAGTGCCATTTTGTAGATACAGCAATGTTTATATTGCATGGCTAAACCTCTAGTGACTGTCTTCCTGACAATTAGACACAGTTCTGTGCTTGTTAACGTTCTAAGGCATTGATGATGTTAAATGTCCATTGATACTTATTATAGAGAAGATTTGGATTCAATGCTTCTCTGCTAGAGGTATTTGATCAGAGAAGTGTGGTACTTGCTGTTCATGCACTTCTAGTCGACAATGCTCTTCTGTAAAGAGCATTGGATTGGACAAGAAGAGGAGGAAAAGCAGAGTGGTCAGCTGCGTGAGTGACTCTCGGGGCTGGAAACAAGCTTAGTAAAACTCTTATTACTTAGATTTAGCTGTGATAAAACATCAATCCAATTGCCCCCCAAAACAGGGACAGAAAGTAACTGTAGTAAGTGTGTTAAAAAAATTATAAGCTTATAATCATGTCTACAAATGCTCACAGTTTAGGGAATAAGATCCATGAACTTTTGGCAATAATGGCAACTGAGAATGTAGATTTAGGGACTGTTACTGAGACATGGTATCATGAGATAAATGACTGGGATATAGCAATACCAGGGTACTCTATATATAGAAAAGACAGAGAAGGCAAGAAAGGGGGATGGGTGCCCCGTATGTGAAGGATAGCATAAAATCTAACCTGAAAAAGTTAGTGAGGCAAACATAGAGTCCGTTTGGGTTATGTTAGAATTTGGAAACCACACAGTAACTCGTGTAGGTGTTATTTACAGGCCCCTTGGACAAATAGAAGAGTTTAAGAATTTACTAGTTGAGGAAATAGCTAAAATGTCAATGAAGGGTGAAGTTATTATCATGGGTGACTTTAATCTTCCGGATGTGAACTGGAAAGCCAAAACAGCTGCTTGTGCCAGGAGCACACATATTCTAAACTCCCTACTGGTATTGTCTCTAAAACAAGTAATTGAGGAACCAACTTGTAAGGAGGTCATACTAGATTTAGTGTTAACAAATGGAGATTTAGTATCAGATATTAATGTAGGTAAAAGTTTAGGATCTAGTGATCACCGGTCAGTGTGGTTTAATATAAGAAAAGTGACTGAGTCACACCACACAAAAACAAAAGTGTTAGATTTTAGAAAAACAGACTTTTCTAAAATTAGAATATGCGTAAAGGAGTCCTTATTAGACTGGAACAGTTTAAATGGAGTACATGAGAATGGGATTATTTAAAAGTTGCACTACTGAAAGCAACAGAAAATTCCATTAGGTTTGTCAGGAAGAGCAGAAGAATTAGAAACCACTGTGGTACTCCACAGAAGTGGCCAAAATAGTAAAAAAACAAAAAGTTAGCATTTAGTAGTTATAAAAAAAGCAGAATGAGGAAGACAGACAGATCTATAAGATTAGGCAGAAAGAGGCAAAGCAAGTTATAAGCGCCTTAAAAAAGCACACACAGAAGAGAGACTAGCACATTCAGTAAAAAACGGGATACATTTTTTTTTAGATACATAAATAGGAAAAGAAGAGTAAAACAAGGATTAGTTAGATTGAAAACAAAAGAAGGACGGTATGTAGAAGAGGATAAAGGTCTAACTGACTGCCTCAATGAATATTTTTGTTCAGTATTTACAGATGAAAATGAAGGAGAGGAACTTCAGTTAAGAAAAAGGACAAATGGGTAATTTGTTATATGTGAGTTTACAGAGGAAGAGGTTCTTTTTTTAACTCTCAAGAGTAAAGACAAATAAGTCAAATGGGCCTGATGGGAAACACCCAAAGTTATTAAAAGAACTTAGTGGTGTACTAGCAAAACCATTAGCGGATTTATTTAACCAATCATTGTTAACAGGAGTAGTCCCAGAAGATTGGAAGTTAGCGAATGTTGTACCCATTCACAAGAAAGGTAGTAGGGAGGAGTTGGGCAACTATAGGCCAGTAAGCCTTACTTCGGTAGTGGGGAAAGTGATGGAAACCATGTTAAAGAACAGAATTGTTGAACATCTAAAATCCCATGTATTTGAAGATCAGAGACAACATGGGTTTACTTCAGGGAAATCATGCCAAACTAATCTTATTGCTTTTTTGATTGGATAACTAAAATAATAGATCCGGGTGGTGCAGTAGACATTGCTTACCTAGATTTCAGTAAGTCTTTTGACACTGTTCCACTTAGAAGGCTTATCAATAAACTGCAATCTTTAAGTTTGAACTCCAATATTGTTGAATGGGTTAGGCAGTGGCTGAATGACAGGCAACAGAGGGTTGCAGTCAACTGAGTATATTCAAAGCAAGGTCTTGTTACCAGTGGGGTACCTCAGGGATCTGTACTTGGACTCGATCTCTTTAATATTTTTTTAGTGATATTACATAGAAACATAGAATGTGACGGCAGATAAAAACCATTCAGCCCATCCAGTCTGCCAAATTCTTCCGTCACATTCTCTGTTTATTCTATGTGTCCTGATTAGAAATAGTGAGTAGAACACTATAGTCTTAGGAACACATGTATTCCTAACAATTTAGTGTTTTTTATTTTAATATTGATACACAATCTTTCTCTCTAGAGTGAAACTAGTGTAACGTATACACATACGTTTTCCACATACTTGTGTTTCCCTGTGCTATACCTATCTATCTAATTATTAAATGGGTGTTTTACTCATCAAATCTCTAAAGCATTCTCTTCAATTTAGTTGACTGTAAACCTTGTGTCAGAATATTAAATTAAGCTATTTTAATTGCGACTTTGTCCTTGTTCTAGGTCAATATCATTAATCTGATTGCAATTTACAGCAGCTGTTACTGCTATTCCTAATGGCTTTACATAAATTGCACAATGCAAGAATGCAGAGCTCCAGAAAAAAAAAAATGTATATTTTATGGCTAATTTGCTGCCATGTTTGATTGCACCAGTATTATCTGTAGATGTATATATACAATTATAATTATTTAGAATCTCTTGTTTCTGGAGACTTTTCTAAACTACTCACACTATGTTCTCATGGTTTATTATATCTCCAGAACCCCTCATTGGCATTACATCCTTTAATAAACATTCAGCGTTGTATACCTTTTATATTGTTTCACATGATTATACCAAGATATGAATATGGTAAAATGTAATGTCTAGATAACTACTTCTGGTCATTAAAACATAATGGTAAATATATATATATATAAAGAAACGGAAGACTGCAGTCGAGGTGGATGTGGCAATACCCAGTGACTATAACATCAGGAAGAAGGAACATGAGAAGGTGGAGAAATACCAAGGACTAAAAGAAGAACTAGAAAGGATGTGATAGGTGAAGGCAGGAGTAGTTACAGTTGGGATAGGAGCATTTAGGGCTGTGACTGCATGTTGGGGGAGTGGCTTCAACAGATTTCAGATGGGACATCTGAGATCGCTGTCCAGAAGAGTGCAGTTCTAGGAACAGCTAAGATACTGCGCAGATCCCTCAAACTCCTAGGCCATTGGTAGAGGACCCGAGAGGAGGAATAAACATACCACCCAGGAGGGGCGAGATAATCAATTTTTGAATATATATATCACAAGCGGGGAACATTAGCTCAGAAATACATTTGTCACCTAGGCTGCTCCCTTTTGTCTCACATGGCTGGGTCTAAAATCCCCTGCTTTAATGTGTGGATGATGCCCAAGACTGACTGCTGTCTCTGCATTCTCAATACTGAATCTATACAAGCCTCATGCATGTGGGATTACCCCTGGCCCTCATAGCAGGATTAACCATGAGGTAATCCTAGGTGACCACCTACAGCCCAGAGGATAGGGGCCCTGGAACCACAAATTTACTTTGCCCCATTAACCATTATTATTTGATGAATTAAGGGGGGGCATACTGCTATCCTGCTTAAGACCCCATGGGGTCTTAATCCTTCTCTTCTGGCCCTATACCTATCCTTGTAGTTAAGGGTGTAGCTGGGGTACCACAAGGAAGTTCTGCCCTCCTTAACAAAGACCTCCTCCATCTTTGCCAACTTCTGCTAAGAGTTTACTTGGGCAGCAAGTAAGCAGTCAAAATTTTAATTTCATCCAACTACATTTGGCCGAAAATATTTTTTGATCTGAACCAAATTTCGGCCATTATACTTACATTTTTCATATCAATCTCTTCACTAAGGAAGCAGAAAGAAATGTGAAGCGCTACAGCAACCGGTAAGAATTATTACAACCTTTCCATAACAGACAGAATAAAGATGTAATATTATAAAGGATATCTTAAATTGATTTCTACATAAAATGGATGATAAACCATTACAGTCTTAGCTCAATCATTTAGGTAAAACAGCACACTCATTTGTATTGATTGCATCAATACAAGCACAATTAGGGAGATTCAATTTGAAATTCTCCCATGATAGTGCTTACACAAGGCTGCACTCTCTTATTTCAGTTTAGTAAATGCAGGCACATGCCACATAATAAATCCATGGACCTTGACTCAAATAAAAAAAAACAAAAAAAAAAACAAATATGTATATATATATATATATATATATATATATATACACACACACACACACACACACAATAGTATTCTGCTCTATGTATTATAGCTGGTGGGGAGTACTTGTGGAGTGGGTTTGCCAGCATTCAATTGACTGTCCCACCATATTAGAGGCACTTGGCATGTTTAGCTAGTTAGTAATTTTTTATGTATAAAATTCTGTAAATGGGTCCATCAGATTCTTAATCCTGCACTGATTTCATCCCTGGTGGAATCTGCCCTTAGTTTTAATAAACGGTGAGTGCCAGTCAAGAGTTCAATTTAATTTAAAGCATCATCTCAGCAGTAGTTTCTTTTGGGATTGTTTGTGTAGGTAATAACAATATGTACAATGATTATGAACCCACAATAAAATGAACATATTCTTCTGAAAGTGAACAGTTTTAAAATTGTAACTAACACCTCCGGCACTGTTTATTTCAAAAGCATTAATTTGCTAAGCTAATACTGCATCTAATACAGGGAGTGCAGAATTATTAGGCAAGTTGTATTTTTGAGGATTAATTTTATTATTGAACAACAACCATGTTCTCAATGAACCCAAAAAACTCATTAATATCAAAGCTGAATATTTTTGGAAGTAGTTTTTAGTTTGTTTTTAGTTTTAGCTATGTTAGGGGGATATCTGTGTGTGCAGGTGACTATTACTGTGCATAATTATTAGGCAACTTAACAAAAAACAAATATATACCCATTTCAATTATTTATTATTACCAGTGAAACCAATATAACATCTCAACATTCACAAATATACATTTCTGACATTCAAAAACAAAACAAAAACAAATCAGTGACCAATATAGCCACCTTTCTTTGCAAGGACACTCAAAAGCCTGCCATCCATGGATTCTGTCAGTGTTTTGATCTGTTCACCATCAACATTGTGTGCAGCAGCAACCACAGCCTCCCAGACACTGTTCAGAGAGGTGTACTGTTTTCCCTCCTTGTAAATCTCACATTTGATGATGGACCACAGGTTCTCAATGGGGTTCAGATCAGGTGAACAAGGAGGCCATGTCATTAGATTTTCTTCTTTTATACCCTTTCTTGCCAGCCACGCTGTGGAGTACTTGGACGCGTGTGATGGAGCATTGTCCTGCATGAAAATCATGTTTTTCTTGAAGGATGCAGACTTCTTCCTGTACCACTGCTTGAAGAAGGTGTCTTCCAGGAACTGGCAGTAGGACTGGGAGTTGAGCTTGACTCCATCCTCAACCCGAAAAGGCCCCACAAGCTCATCTTTGATGATACCAGCCCAAAACAGTACTCCACCTCCACCTTGCTGGCGTCTGAGTCGGACTGGAGCTCTCTGCCCTTTACCAATCCAGCCACGGGCCCATCCATCTGGCCCATCAAGACTCACTCTCATTTCATCAGTCCATAAAACCTTAGAAAAATCAGTCTTGAGATATTTCTTGGCCCAGTCTTGACGTTTCAGCTTGTGTGTCTTGTTCAGTGGTGGTCGTCTTTCAGCCTTTCTTACCTTGGCCATGTCTCTGAGTATTGCACACCTTGTGCTTTTGGGCACTCCAGTGATGTTGCAGCTCTGAAATATGGCCAAACTGGTGGCAAGTGGCATCGTGGCAGCTGCACGCTTGACTTTTCTCAGTTCATGGGCAGTTATTTTGCGCCTTGGTTTTTCCACACGCTTCTTGCGACCCTGTTGACTATTTTGAATGAAACGCTTGATTGTTCGATGATCACGCTTCAGAAGCTTTGCAATTTTAAGAGTGCTGCATCCCTCTGCAAGATATCTCACTATTTTTGACTTTTCTGAGCCTGTCAAGTCCTTCTTTTGACCCATTTTGCCAAAGGAAAGGAAGTTGCCTAATAATTATGCACACCTGATATAGGGTGTTGATGTCATTAGACCACACCCCTTCTCATTACAGAGATGCACATCACCTAAAATGCTTAATTGGTAGTAGGAATTCGAGCCTATACAGCTTGGAGTAAGACAACATGCATAAAGAGGATGATGTGGTCAAAATACTCATTTGCCTAATAATTCTGCACTCCCTGTATAATGCTAAAAATATATTAAACTCACACCAGAGTACCTTAAAAAATAGTATAATTAGGAAGAAATGAAAAAAATCACTTTGAACAGCAATTCAGGAAATATAATATTCAGCCATACTCCCAGAATTCCATGGAAAAATATGCAAATTAGTGCTTGTAGTGAAGCAATGACCTTCTACTTTATATAGATCTTTTGATAGGAGTTAATATATACAAGCTAAGGATTTTATCCCCTGGGATAACATACAGGAAATGAGTCACTAACCCTTTACCAATATAACAGTCAGGTCTATAGTTTGGCCTAAATAACTGATCCAGACACACAGCTTATATTTAGATTTCACCTATTTTGATTTTTTATCTAGAATCTGAAATTCATTTTGAATTCCTGACAATCAACACATTACTAAATAACATTTATTGTCTTAGAATGTAAGAAATCAAATAAAATTAATGACATTTAGAACATCTGATAATTGTAACACATATGGAACACTCTCTACCAGGAGTAGGCAACCTTCGACACTCCAGATGTTTTGGACTACATCTTCCATAATGCCTTTACATCCATAATGCTATCAAAGCATCAAGGGAAATGTTGTCCAAAACATCTGGAGTGCCGAAGGTTGCCTACCCCTGCCCTATACTGAAGCAGGTAGAAATATTGAGCAGGAAGCTATATAACTCTGTGCATACTCTCACTGTCCGCTAAACCAGCACATATAATCTTGTTTGGTTAACAATAACTGCATGTGCATGTTACAAGGGGATCAAGTCTGAGTTAAGTATACCAAAATGTTTGTGAGGTTCACGTAATATCACATGAACATTTCCATTTCAACAGGGAATAAATCGGGTGACAGCTTTGGGGTAAGTCACAGAAACCATCATCTAGTGTCAATCCAGTCCCAATACAAATTAAGGGAATGAGGAAATATCTCTAGTGGTTGGGTAACTGAGTGCCTGGATGTTCCCTTGACAGATTCTGGCCCATTGTTACTCAGAAAGGCCCTATCATGGGTAACATCCATTGTGGTTTCCATATTTTGGCTTGGGTGAAAACTGGAACTGACCACTTGGGGATGTGTGGATAGTCTACCTGGTGTAGGCTGGGAAGAGGTGGGAGTCTAAATTTCAGTAATTCTCCTAATTTCCATTGTAAGAAAGCCTTTTACTATTTTGGTAAAATTAGAAGGGAACTAGACAAAGAAACCACTGGGTTGGTTACCATAAAAACACAATGCTCCAGCAGAACACACAAAACATTGCAGCTTTATTAGTAGGAATAACATCTCAAAGGAATTTGGCTTTGGTTCACTCCACAAATTGGAAGGGAATTCATCACAAGTTTAATTAAAGGACGTCATCACAAGTATAATGTGTCCTTATATTCCATATTTTGTTGTATATGAGCATGCTCTGGCTGCCTTTAGCATATGACACAAGTATTATCTTGGTCTTAGTTCAGGGGATGCTTTATCATGTTGTAATAAAGTGATAATTATGTATTTACTACCAAGTGAGGTTTAATGAATCTCGAAAAACTATTGCAGACAAATACCTGTCCATTACAATACACTCATACACCTGGACTGAATACAATTTACAATGCATACAATGCATACAATACATACTTATCTGTTTAATCTGCCATACCATCTGTGGTGTTCTTTCAGGCTACTCTGATTTACATTAGTGTATTATCAGTGACATAAAGTCTTGGCTGGTGCTTCTGAAATCATTATTGGGAGCAATGATCTCTTAACTGTGGACATGCCTCCCAACCGTCCCAATTTTGGTGGGACAGGACCTGACAATTGGGAATGTCCTGCTAAATTATCGATTGTTAGGAGGCAAGTCCACCTGACTTTGGTCCCTGTTGTCCAGCTTGTGGGGACACCAGGAAACTGTCCCAAAAGTATGTAGTGTTATCTCATCTCTAGACACTCAGGGCACAGTGCTTACTGTATGCTCTGCCCTCAGTAGGTTTGCCTGCTGGATTTGTAGGCACCATGGCAAGCATTTATAGACCTGCCCCATTTCTGGGAAGGCTTTGGGCAGACACAGTGATGAAGTCTTGTCATTGGCCAACCTTTTTTTTTTTTTCACAAGAGAGTTAGTACATACTATTATAGCCAATACAAAGCAAATACATGCAAGAATTGAGTAATGTTAATAAACAGTCACTAAAGAAAGTAAACTCGGTACAGTAAAAAACAAAAAACAAATGTACATAATACATTCTGACAGTATTTCTTAGTACATATTTGCCAAGGGGTGTAGAGATGTTCATTTAATGTGCTTATTGTTCACTCCAAGCAGCCATTGTTGAGTTCGATTTGTACCATCACCGGTATCTCCGGAAAGCATTTAAATGCCTGTGCTAATGTGGTCTCTTAAACAGTGTATCCAGTAGCTACCTGTGCTTAGCTTCTGTTGGTGTGATTATACCCACCCTCTAGTGCTCTACTTAGGATGAACACTCAAACCAGTTGATTTCCACAGAACAGGCTTTGTGTAGTAAAATTAGGGTAATGAGGTAAAAAAAAAGGTGGGGGAGTGGAAGTGTTGTGAGAAAGTTAAAAAGAGGAAGAAAGAGAGAGAGAGAGAAAGTGAGAGAGAGGATGAAGAAATTGAGAGAGAGAGAAAGCGAGGGAGAAGATGAAGAAAGAGAGAGAGGAAGAGAGAGAACAAAAGAAAGTAATAAAAGGGATAGAAGGGGAAGGGGCATGGGGTGTCTCTCCTCATCCCCCATTGGCCAGCCCCCAGACCCCCAGCCTGCTCCCGTCCACCAATGTCCCTGTTCCCATCGCGGTCTAGTCTGATCTCTCCTCCCTCTACACAATATCCCTCTACTTTAATGTTTTTATTAGTGATATTGCAGAATGTCTTGATGGTAAGGTATGTCTTTTTGCTGATGATACTAAGATATGTAACAGGGTTGATGTTCCAGGAGGGATAAGCCAAATGGCAAATGATTTAGGTAAACTAGAAAAATGGTCAGAATTGTGGCAACTGACATTTAATGTGGATAAGTGCAAGATAATGCATCTTGGACGTAAAAACCCAAGGGCAGAGTACAGAATATTTGATAGAGTCCTAACCTCAACATATGAGGAAAGGGATTTAGGGGTGATTATTTCTGATGACTTAAAGGTAGGCAGACAATGTAATAGAGCAGCAGGAAATGCTAGCAGAATGCTTGGTTGTATAGGGAGAGGTATTAGCAGTAGAAAGAGGGAAGTGCTCATGCCATTGTACAGAACACTGATGAGACCTCACTTGGAGTATTGTACTCAGTACTGGAGACCGTATCTTCAGAAGGATATTGATACCTTAGAGAGTTCAGAGAAGGGCTACTAAACTGGTTCATGGATTGCGGGATAAAACTTACCAGGAAAGGTTAAAGGATCTTAACATGTATAGCTTGGAGGAAAGACGAGACAGGGGGGATATGATAGAAACATTTAAATACATAAAGGGAATCAACACAGTAAAGGAGGAGACTATATTTAAAAGAAGAAAAGCTACCACAACAAGTGCCCATGTCTGGTTGCATTTCTCGCTGTTCCCACTGAATGCAGCTGTCAACAACTCCGCATTGTATAGCTCTGCTACCTTCATCAACCACTGCCGTATAGTGTGCACATCCCAGCTGCGCCACCGCTGCAGAACCAGCGACATTTAACAAGTGTTTCGATTGGCCCACCTTTTAAACCACCATTCCTTAGGATATCAACGTTGAAGAGTATGTCTGTGGAGGCTTCACACACAACTAAGTCATCTTTACCGTACATTTGATTTGCAGTATTGACTTACAGTGTATTATTATGATAATTGTATGGTTACAATGTTCCTACTATTGTGACCCTGCTTGTATAGTTACAATGTTCCTACTATTGTGATCTTGCTTGTATGGACACAATATTCCTACTGTTGTGACCTGGCTTTCATGGTTACAATGTTCCTACTATTGTGACACTGCTTGTATGGATACTGTTGTGACCTGGCTTGCATGGTTACAATGTTCCTACTTGAAACTTTGCTAGTTTAATTAGTAATGCTTATTTGCTGCTCCCACCAGACTTGGCTTGATCCTGATATTCTTGATTTCTGTACCCCTGACCTATGACTGTAACCAGGTGTGAGATCGGCTGTAGAGAGTTTTTCCCATTAAATCTTAATTTGTATTCTCTTCCTTTCTAAGCCCTGAGCTCACTATCTCTGCATACTTAGGACTAATCTGTTATATTTTCCTGGTGATACCAGCTTTAAGGAATATCACTTTAAACTGACAATATTTTACTAATGTTATATTCTTTACATTACAGATTATTGTGAAGATCAAGAACCACTTGGAGAAAAGTAGCCACTTCATTGCAAGTGTACTTCCTACATGAGGGATCACTTAGGAGCTGCGTAAGTGTCTATAAAACATGAGTGCACAATATTGTTACACTCTACTTATTTCCTTACATATTATATATAGAGGGAATTGTCTCAATGTGAATTGTCTATAACAGATGTTCTTAACCTTTCTTGACAGGTTTCCAAATTATGTATATATTATGTTGGCAACCTATCCCTCCACTGACAAATTATCCCAGAACTCATCCGAGTCTATTCACTAAACACCAAATTTTGTCCATTCTTCAGTAAAAATGGGAAATCCAACTGAAATGGACTAAAGTTACTAAAGTTGCACCATTAAACCAAACACATTCATGTCAACTTTAAGAACTACGCTTCTTGCCTATAAAAGCTAAAGGATATGGACATTTTAAAAAGAAAATCAGGTCTGCATGCATTCAGTACGATACACATTTACAAACGATCATTTATTTGCTTTTTTTTTTTGCACATTAGCAATGATTGTAGGCACAATTGCTGCCAGCAAACAAATAGTTCAGATTTAAAAAATCTGGTTCCAGACATAATTTGCGGTCTGGGTGAAATCTGGACAAAATTCAGGCTTGTTCGGAGTCACTAATGCAAAATCCAAACATTGTTAAATACTGTGAAAAATGTGTAGATTTTGCCGTTCAAATAACCCTGTTCTGCACTGAATAATTTTGCTCCATTCGGTATGGGGCCATTCGAACTGTAGTAAATAGACACGATCAATAAACAGTCAATTTCTTTAAATGGCTTCATTGAGGTCATTCCAGCATCATGGATGTCTCTATTGCATTTAGGATTAGGGGCATGGTTTTGGATCTCAACCCAAGGATTAAAAAGCATTTCTCGGCTTTTAAAATATATGTACATAGAGGAGATGAACACATTTTGCAAGATATATTTGTATTAACAAAAATCATACAGTAACCAGGAAAGAGTTGCAGAGCAAGAAGGAAAGAACAGTCTGCACCTTATAAAAAAATACTAATTTCATAGCGCATATTTTAATTATCACGGTAACTAATATTTATATTCTGTTTATGTATAAATAAAAATATTACCTTTTCATGTATTTTGGTGAACTTTCTCTTTCTAAATTACTGGGAACATGCTTCACATGTATCGCATTATAGGATGTGTGTGTATACTCATTTTCATCATTATAATCAGGACCAAGCAATGATCGTGCCCAGGTTCCCATGTCGTATGGTGGAAGGGTGCCCCCAAATTCAGATGGTAGACATTCTGGATGAATCAATTGATGTAAACTATTCAAATTGTTACCATGGAGAAAAATCTGGAAAACAAACATATAGGTTTTGATAAACAGTTGTTAAAATTTTTTTTAAATGTTAATACATGATACAAGGTTATGCTGTCAGGTTTAAACTCACAGAGAGCCACAGAGCATTGATTCCCAACACAGTCATAATGGAGCACCAATGGTCAAAGATTTTCTAGTATCCCATAAAAGCAAAACTGAGAAATGTTAAATTCTGGACTCTGGTGTTCCTTGATGTTTGGGATTGGAACTGCTGTCATAGGGTTCTGATCTGCATTTACTTCAAGTGCAAGGGAGCTTATGGTCTGCACCTATAGAGGGTGCAGGTAACTTGTAGTTCCCCCCACAATGCACCCCTTTGGAGTGATTTTGTGCATTACTGCAGGCAACGTGCTGATTCACTAAAAGCACCAGACCAGAGGGAGAGATGCCTCCTCTTGTTGTAGATTCAATCTACAGGCTTCACTTAGTCAGTATTAATACCTGTGTTTGAGGTAAACTGAGGTAAGATACAAAAAGCAAAAGCAAATTATTTTCACACCTGCACAAAACCCAATGTAATTTATAAATAGTAAATAATTTCTTGAAATATATTCCTTGTATTGCATAACACTCATTTCATCATTAAGTTATGTAATTGCCACACACATATTTAATGCTAATAAGGCATAGTTCAAAGCACGATGGAATATGTCAGCACTATAACAATGCTAATAATAACAGATATGTACCCTAATATTATATATATTGTGGGAGACATTTTTTACGGTTCTCCATGTTGAGGCACAACATCACAATCTAATATAAGATCTACTAATTTATGAGCACCCTCCTGTTTGCCTGAGCATCATGGGCATTATGCAAACCCAAAAATATTACTGAACTGGAGGCCATTGCCCATAAGCAATGAGCTAAGATTACTCAGGAACGCTGCCGGAAGCTGGTGTCTGGCTATGCATCTGGTTTACAGCTGGTCAGAATGTCAAAAGATTGCTCTGCTAAGTACTAAAACTGCTTGCTATGAAGGGGTTGAATCATTTTGAGACTGTCAAAGTCATTATAAGTTGCATTTTCAGTTGAATTTGGGAAAACCACTTGAAACCGCGATGAACTATTTGTTTTATTTGTTCATTGCAAACAACTGAAAGTCTATAAATTTTGACAATAAACCTGGTTTTCATTGAGGGTTGAATAATTTTGATTATAGCTGCATACTTCACAAGTGTTTGTAGTGTCAATGTTATCCATACATAGATTTAAGGTTTTTTCAGTCAAAGTGATTAGGATGTTGGCAGGAGATAGGCTAGAGATTCTGGGCTAGATAGAACAGAGAATGATCAACTCACAAATGTACTAAAGGCACCTTGAGGGATGACTAAGACCCTTGCTAGTTACTTGCAGATCCTGACTCAGAAGAAGTGAGTTACAGTTCACAGAATCTCCAGCGTCCAGGCTGTGGCCTGCATGCTAACAATATAATGAGTGGATCTGAAAGAGTGCTTGTAATCAATACAACTTTATTTCACAGTCAATACTGAGATCATGCTGTAATGACTTTACATTTTCACGTCAATATTTCATTAGTAGCAAAAAACAGAGACTATGAGAGCTCCGAGAACAGGCAAAGGCTCAGACACACCTCAATAGCTTGCCTTTTGGTTAGTCCCCACTCAGGTCTGAAGGTTTTTTGCTCGCTTGTGCCATTACACCGAGGACCTATACCATTCACATATCATATATAACACAAGTTGTAATCACAATCTAAAGTGTACAAGGTGAAAATAACAAAACAATAAATAGAAAGAAACTTTTCTTAACAAGGGAATTTGCTGCATCAAAGATTTCCTCTTGACTTCCAAAATGAATGTATACAACAAAATAGGGGACATTCTGCTAAAAAGACACAATGCAAAACAACATATGAACATATAACCGTGTATTAAAAGTGCTGAAATAGTGTAAATCCAATTACTGCTGAGAGTTTATGGTGATCTAGATATCAGAGGAACAACTCATTTGTGGGAGATCTCTTACAAGGCATTATATTCACATCAGAATTGTGAGTGGCCAATTGGAATTCTACATTCGCACTTTTCATACACAGTCATATGCTTTGTTGCCTTGCATTTTGTCTGTTTGTATATCAGACTGATCCCAAACATTATGGCCATCCAGACCTGAAATGCCAGCAAGGAACTTGGCATTTCAGATCTGGACGGACCTTATAGGTGGGATCAGACTGATATACAAACAGTATACGTTCTCTGTGTAATGGTGCAAGTGAGCTAAAACAAGGTCTCAGCGCTCTTGTGTTCTCTATTTTTGGTTCACTGTGGAATATAGAGTCAGGGGACATTTGTAGGGACAAGTTGTATGAGAAGATTATTTATTATTATTGGCATTTATAAAGCATTTGGGGAAAAAGACAGCACAGTATACACAGACTAATACATAAGGTAGAGGGGGCCCTGATCCAGTACACTTTCCAATTTGTGTAAACAGAATATTGCTTATTATACAGAATATTAAAAAACAATAAACACAAATTGATACAGAAGGAACAGAAGGACCGACATGTGAGCTTACAATCTAGCAATTACAGTACTTTTATATAAAATGCTTAGCACGATGAATTAGATGAAATTCGGGTAGTGTCCCTTGTAGTCTTTGTATCATTTCTATTCAAGGACACATGTTAATAATGATACAATGCAGATAATCATAGCATGTAAAAAAGGCCAATCAGACAACAAGATTTTCTTTTCAGCAACCAGCAGTCAATCAGAGGAAAGTTTCAAAAAACCATCAACTCCTCGATTAAATAAGCGATGCCATGACAGAGGTTGTAATATTTTTATACAAGGTGCAACATCTCCAGTGCAATCTCCATTATTGTGACCTGCTCAGCATGACAGCATTGACAGAGGTCTTTTCATTCCTACAAGATACTCTATTTCCTGTGACTCTATTTTCACTAATAGCAACCAACATGCATTGTGAATGAACACGGGCTAATATAACCCTGCGGTCACTTGCAAACATCTCCAGGCATGTTGTACATATTCATCATACCCTGGCACTCTGGTCACCCTCAGATGCTGCAGGCTACTGGGAGATATCTCTCAGGTTACTTGCATGTTCTACATCCAAATCTTGTCCATCTCCAGTCCTGATTGAAGCCTTGCGTCAAAATCCTCTCACTGTCAGGAATTCAGCCACCCAACATTCATTCCTTATACAAATATATGGGTATATTGGTATAAACAACAGCACTTTACGCACACTCAGACTGGTGCATAGGTTCAGCATACCCACACTTGCACCTTCTGGTGATGCTGGAATGCTACTCAGACCTAAACATCCCAGTCCAAAGGACAGGTACTCTGGCATGGTTCCTGTTTGCCCATTGTACTTTTTTGATTGTGTCCTGATTACTTTTTTTACTGTTTCTCATGGTTTCTGGTCCCTTGACTATATTACACTATTATTGAATACTCTGTACTCCTACTCATTGACTTGGCTCTGACTACTCTCTTGCTGTTTCATCTCAACAGAAGCTTTTCAGTTAACTCTGACCCTCCTAAGGATCACTTACACCTGACTGTTATGAATCATTCTTTCAGAATTGGTCTTACCTATTCTCTGCAAGTTGTGGTGAGTGATATACAATATCATAGGCAATCAATCCAGACCTGGAAATATTGAGATTGCATGCCATAAACTCATGCAAAAGTCTACACCAGGCATAGGCATCCTTTGGCACTCCAGATGTTTTGGACTACACCTCCCATGATGCTTTGTCAGCGTTATGGGTGTAAGAGCATTATGGGGATGTAGTCCACAACATCTGGAGTGCCAAAGGTTGCCTATTCCTGGTCTATACAGTGCTTGACTAGCAAAGGCCCTGCACCATTCTTGCCAGCTGCCTTACTCTGCAATACAGTGCCAACAAACATCAACATAGAAAAATGGTTTGAGGATGCAGCCACAACCGTTGTATGCTAGTGGCACTGGCCATATTTGTAGCAAGCATAAATGTAATAGGAATTCATGCATTAAAAAGGTAAAGACAAATCAATATGGCCTATTTGTCATACTGCTCATTTTTAGAACTCTTCTTCGAAAACTAATTTAAAAAAAGTAAAATTATATTAATTAAAAATACATAGATGCACATTTTATATATATATATATATATATATATATATATATATATATATCTTGTTGTCATCAATAATATAAAAACATGTGTGTCTTAACCATTTATTCCTCATTAATGTACAAAATAAAAGTATAACGTTGGCACATTACCACCTTCTGTATAGTATTATATAGAATTATGCAATTTTTTTTTAATGTGTGTTTTTTTCTTTGTTTTCTCTTCTACATGAATATTGAATGGGATGCTTGTCCAAAGATGAACGTGTTGATATAAATTATAAATATCTGTTGTGATTGTGTGTGGTTACCCACACTGTTTTGTTATGAACTGTCACATACTGCAAATTACAGTCCTCTGTTATCTCAGTAAAGAGATTCAAGATAGATAGATCTTTTTATTTTCAAAGATCAAAGATCCCCAAAGTCCAGATATTTACACTGAAGCTAATCCAATTCCCTACCATTATTGATCAGAACCAGACAATTTGCAAACCACAACTGAGGCTCCGGTTTGTCACATGACTTAACTGAGAGGTCACAGGAAATTACTAGAGCACATGGCCAGGAACACAGCGTTACATGTGTTCATTTGTCTTACCCGTTTCCTTGTCTTGTCTTTAAGAAATGGTTTAATTATAGTGTACAGAGCATAAATGTACCAGGGTTGATTGACAAAGTGGATTCCTCCAAATCGAGCTGGAAAGCTGTCCTACAACAAAGAAACAGAAGTCTGTTATTTGACATCACAGGCTGGGCAGCTGGACAGAAAGCCAATCAATTATCCCAAGTACAGCTGTACCTCTGAAATAAATTACTAAGAAGCTTTAATAATAATGAGAAGAAAAAAGAATGTAATAATACATGACAAAATGGTACGTGCGAAAATTATATTGGCAGGAAAATAAAATAGAAATAAGTTAACATTTTATTTAGCCTTTTCATTTATTTTTTTTTTTTAAATGAATCATGGTAGAATTTACAGACACAATCAAGGTTAATTCTCAATGGAATACTCCAAAGGAAACCATTTAGTAGATATAACACCAAAAACCACGTGTTTTAGGTTTCATAAATATGTTTTGGTGGTTGGAAACAACAAGTTTACATTGGCTACATAACTTGTTTCTGCAGATACAGTAAGACTTGCCATTAATGTCCAACAGACTCCCTCATTGTGAAGACTTGCAGACAAAACCCATGCATGCCACTGGCCAATCAAACTTCTCAATGAGCTGTATTACAGCAAATGAATGGCCAGCACAGAGATCAGCAAAGTCCCTCACTTCTGCATTGAAATATAATTATAATCCGATTTACAGCCAGCAAGGTGTGAGAAAAGTGTTTTATAAAAGTGTTGATTTGTCTTGAAACATAGAATGTGACGGCAGATGAGAACCATTCGGCCCATCTAGTCTGCCCAATTATCTAAATACTTTCATTAGTCCCTAGCCTTATCTTATAGTTAGGATAGCCTTATGCCTATCCCCACACATGCTTAAACTCCTTTACTGTGTTAACCTCTACCACTTCAGCTGGAAGGCCTTTCCATGCATCCACTACCCTCTCAGTAAAGTAATACTTCCTGATATTTTTAAACCTTTGCCCCTCTAATTTAAGACTATGTCTTCTTGTTGTGGTAGGTTTTTTTTTTTTAAATATAGTCTCCTCCTTTACTGTGTTAATTCCCTTTATATATTTAAATGTTTCTATCATATCCCCCCTGTCTCGTCTTTCCTCCAAGCTATACATGTTAAGATCCTTTAACCTTTCCTGGTAAGTTTTATCCTGCAATCCATGAACCAATTTAGTAGCCCTTCTCTAAAGTATCAATATCCTTCTGAAGATACGGTCTCCAGTATTGCGTACAATACTCCAAGTGAGGTCTCACCAGTGTTCTGTACAATGGCATGAGCACTTCCCTCTTTCTACTGCTAATACCTCTCCCTATACAACCAAGCATTCTGCTAGCATTTCCTGCTGCTCTATTACATTGTCTGCCTACCTTTAAGTCTTCAGAAATAATTATTCCTAAATTCCTTTCCTCGGATGTTGAGGTTATGACTATCAAATATTCTGTATTCTGCCCTTGGGTTATAACGTCCAAGATGCATTATCTTGCACTTATCCACATGTGACATCACAATACCCCACCAATAGGATCTGCCATATGAAGTAACACCAGTGCTGCACACAGTGTGTGTTTGCATTAAAAAGTCTGCAGGGATAGGCTACAGACACCAGAACCACTTCATTAAGCTGCAGTGGTTCTGGGACTATAGTGTCCCTTTAATGTGAGGTAAATTAGAGATTAGTGTCACTAATAATATTGCTTTCTTACAACCAGATGAGGATGACAATGGGCTCTGGTTGCAGTATGGCTCCACTGGTCTGGTGTAGAACAGGCTGTTTGCAACTGTGGTCAAAAAATTAAATGTTCTGGGAGAACGGGAAGCAGCTTCATTTTTTGGGGCCCCTTACACAGCTCAAGGTCTGGGCCCCAGGGCCTGACCGTGAGTATGCCTATAAGGCCCACCCATAAGTCCACCTACATGTTCCACCCATTAGTTCACTCACAGGGAGTGGAGTGTGTAGGGGATGTGTTACGTGTTAGTGTAGAGGATCTAAAGTGTGTGCTTATGGAAATGGATGTTCCTGTACCGTGGACTGGAGCTCGGCCACGTTACACTGCGCTTCCCTCCTGCTGATCCCTCTTTTCTTGCGTGCTTGGGCCGGTGCGCCCTCATGGACGCGCCGGCCCGGGCAGTGCTGTAGCCACCTGAGGCTCTCTATAGAGCTCTCAGGCAGCTGCAGCATTTGAGGGGCCAGCGCTCCTGGTGCCCCTTCCTAAGGGGTGCCCTCAGGGCCATCTATAATATGAGTAGGACCCTGGGCAATGCATTTTCTTGGGCCCCATGGGCCCTGTCCCTGCCTCACCCCCCAATTACGTCCAACCCGCAATCACACTGACAGACGTACTGGCACATACACACACAGACATACATTAAAACATTCACAGATACATACCGACACACACAGTCACTACACACAAATATATACTGGCAGACATACTGACACACACACAGACATACATACATACACAGACACATACATTAACAGATATACTGACACACACACAAACACATACACTGACAGATATACTAAAACACACAGACATATACACTGACAGACACATTGACACACACACACAGGCATACTGACATACACACTGACACACACACACACACACACACACACACGCATACTGACATATACACAGACAGATGTAATGGCTGATACAGACAGACATTAAAACATTCACAGATATATACTGACACACACATACACTGACATACAAATATATCCTGGCAGACATACTGACACACACACAGACATACATACATACATGACACACACATACACTGACAGACATACTGACTGACACACACATACACACACAGACATACTTACATACACACACAGACATACTGACACACACAAGACATGCTGACACACACACACAGACAGACTGGCACATACACACAGACAGACATTAAAACATTCACAGAAACATACTGACACACACATACACTGACACACAAATATATCCTGGCAGACATACTGACACACACGTACACACACGTACACACACACACACACAGACATACTGGCATACACACAGACATACTGACACACACACACACACACACACACACACACACACACACACACACACACACACACACACACACACACACACACACACACTGACATACTGGCATACACACATACATATTGACACACACACAGACATATACACACACACAGACATACTGACACACACACACACACAGACATACTGACACACACACACTGACACACACACAGACATATACACACACAGAGACATACTGACACACACACACACAGACATATACACACACAGAGACATACTGACACACACACAGACATATACACACAGACATACTGACACACACACACACACACAGACACACACACACAGACATATACACACACAGACATACTGCATACACACAGACATACTGACACAACACACATAGACACACACACACACACAGACATACTGACAAACACACACAGACATACTGGCATACACACAGACCTACATTTAGCCACCCTCCAGGTTCTTACCTTTTTCTGGAGGGTGGTTTCCCTGGTCCAGTGGCAGGCTGAGGCAGATGGGAGTTCTCCTCTGGAACTCCCCTCCTCCCTGCCTTCCTCCTCCCGCGCGGCTATCTCCGGCTGGGGAAGAGGGGCCCGGTCGCGCTGTTTAAGCGCCACAGCGCCCGACCGGGCCCCTGCTGACACATGCTCCCCGGGTGGCCCTTAGTGCATGGGCCCCCGGGGAGCCTCCCGGTCCATAGGGGCTGCGCAAATCGCGGGGCCCACAGAGCAGCTGCTCTGGGCCCCCAGGAGCAACTGGGCCCGGGGCAGCTGCCCCGTTTGCCCCGCGTTAAAGACGGCCCTGGGTGCCCTAGGCGACTGCCTAAGTTGCCTGTAAGAAGTGATAGCACTGTTTGGCTTATCCCTCCTGGAACATCAACCTTGTTACATATCTTAGTATCATCAGCAAAAAGACATAACTTACCATCGAGACCTTATGCAATATCACTAATAAAAATATGAAAGAGAATGGATCCAAGTACAGATCCCGGAGGTACCCCACTAGCGACAAGACCATGCTTTGAATATGCTCCATTGACTACAACCCTATGTTGCCTATCACTCAGCCACTGCCTTAACCTTTCAACAATATTGGAATCTAAAGTTAAAGATTGCAGTTTATTGATAAGTCTTCTATGTGCAACAGTATCGAAAGTCTTACTGAAATTTAGGTAAGAAATATCTCCTGCACCACCCTGATCTATTATTTTAGTTACCCAATCAAAACAATCAATAAGATTAGTTTGGCATGATCCCCCTGAAGTAAACCCATGTTGTCTCTGATCTTCAAATCCATGTGATTTTAGATGTTCAATAATCCTATCCTTTAACATGGTTTCCATTATTTTCCCCACTACTAAAGTAAGGCTTACTGGCCTATAGTTACCCAACTCCTCCCTACTACCTTTCTTGTGAATGGGCACAACATTTGCTAACTTCCATTCTTCTGGGACTACTGTTAACAATGCTTGGTTAAATAAATCTGTTAACGGTTTTGCTAGTAAGCTCTTTTAATAACTTTGGGTGTATTCCATCAAGCCCCATTGACTTATTTATCTTTACTTTTTACACTTCAAATATAACTTTTTCCTCTGTAAACTCACATTTAACAAATGACTCATTTGTCCTTTTTCCTGAGGTCCATTTCGTTCATTTTTATCTGTAAATACTGAACAAAAATATTCACTGAGGCAGTCAGCTAGACCTTTATCCTCTTCTACATACCTTCCTTCTTTTGTTTTTAATCTAACTAATCCTTGTTTTACTTTCCTTTTCTCATTTATGTATCTAAAAAATGTTTTGTCCCCTTTTTTTTACTGACTGTGCTATTTTCTCTTCTGTGTGTGATTTGGAAGCTCTTATAAGTTGCTTAGCCTTTTTCTGTCTAATCTTATAGATCTGTCTATCTTCCTCACTCTGTTTTTTTTTTTTTTATAATGACTAAATGCTAACTTCTCTTGCAATTTTCTGTTGCCTTCAGCAGTGCAACTTTTAAATAATTCCAATTCTCCTGGACTCCATTTAAACTGCTCCAGTCTGATAATGACTCCTTTACACATATTCTAATTTTAGAAAAGTCTGTTTTTCTAAAGTCTAAAACTTTTGTTTTTGTGTGGTGTGACTCAGTCATTAGACCACACTGACTGACTGGATCCTAAACTTTCACCTACAGTAATATCTGATACTAAATCTCCATTTGTTAACACTAAATCTAATATGGCCTCTTTACCAGTTGGCTCCTCAATGACTTGTTTTAGAGACAATCATAGTTGACACTTATTCAGATAATCCTGCATGGACAGAAAACTGAACCCTAAAGGCCTAAAGGTTACAGCGCAATTGTAAACATTCTTATTTTCTGGGTGCTAATCTGCTAAATAGTAAATTTGGGGCTTGCTTTGCCGCATATCCCTTGCCTGGTGCATGTGCTGAATTTGGTGGTGCAGAAATTCCTGAAAAACTACCCAGATATATCAGAGCTGATGCAGAAAGTGCGGACCGTCTGTGTGCACTTTCGGCTTTCTCAACCTGCTGCTGCTTGCCTGTCTGTGCTGCAGTGTAACTTCAGCCTTTCCGCTCATCGCCTCATATGCGACGTGCCCACAAGGTGGAACTCCACCTTGCACATGCTGGAGAGACTGTGCGAGCAGCAGCAGGCGATAGTGGAGTTTCAGATGCAGCACGCACGTGTCAGTCGCTCTGCGGAACAGCACCATTTCACCACCAATGAGTGGGCTTCCATGCGAGACCTGTGTGCCATTTTGCACTGTTTCAAGTACTCAACCAACATGGCCCGTGCCAATGATGCCGTTCTCAGCCTTACTATCCTGCATCTATGTCTACTTGAAAAAAAGCTTCGGGCGATGATGGAAGAGGATGTGGCACAGGAGGAAGAGGGGTCATTTCTATGGTTATCAGGCCAGTCATTTACAAGTGGCTTGGAGGGTGGGTTCCTGCACCAGCATAGGCCAGGTACACAATTGTGCAGCCAGGGCCCAGTTCTGGAGGATGAGGAGGAGGATGATGAGGATGAGGATGAGGAGGAACCGTGTTCACAGCAGGGTGGCACCCAACGCAGCTCGTGGGCATCACTGGAGTGTGGCTGGGGGATACGGAGGACACAGACAATACACCTCCCAAAGAGGACAGCTTGTCCTTGCCTCTAGGCAGCCTGGCACACATGAGCAACTACATGCTGCAGTGCCTGCGCAACGACTGCCGAGTTGCCCACATTTTAACTTGTGCTGATTACTGAGTGGCCACTCTGCTCAATCCCCGTTACAAGGACAACGTGAAGTGTCAAGTGTGATCGGAAGATGTGCGACTACAAGCGCATGCTGGTAGACGCGCTGCTGAGGGCATTCCCAACTGACACCAGGGGCTCAGTGGAAGCACAGGGCAAAGGCAGAGGAGGAGGAAGGGGTCACCAATGCAGCTGGGGCACAGTTCTGGAGGATGAGGATGAAGAGGATGAGGATGAGGAGGAGGAACCGTGTCCACAGCAGGGTGGCACCCAACTCAGCTCGGAGCATGGCTGGGGGGATATGGAGGACACAGACAATACACCTCCCAAAGAGGACAGCTTGTCCTTGCCTCTGGGCAGCCTGGCACACATGAGCGACTACATGCTGCAGTGCCTGTGCAACGACTGCCGAGTTGCCCACATTCTAACTTGTGCTGATTACTGGGTGGCCACCCTGCTGGATCCCCAATACAAGGACAACGTGCCGTCCTTAATTCCCTCACTGCAGCGTGATTGGAAGATGTGCAGCTACAAGCGCACGCTGGTAGAGGCGCTGCTGAGGGCCTTCCCAACTGACACCCGGGGCTCAGTTGAAGCACAAGGCAAAGGCAGAGGAGGAGGAAGGGGTCGCCAATGCAGCTGTGGCACCACCAGCACCCCAGTAGGCAGGGTTAGCATGGCCGAAATGTGGAAAAGCTTTGTCAGCACGCCACAACAACCAGCACCATCTGATATAGAACGTCTTAGCAGGAGGCAGCATTTCAGCAACATGGTGGAACAGTACGTGTGCACACTCCTACACGTACTGACTGATGGGTCTGTCCCATTCAACTTCTGGGTCTCCAAATTGGGCACATGGCCTGAGCTTGCCCTTTATGCCTTGGATGTGCTGGCCTGCCCTGCAGCCAGTGTATTGTCATGTGTTTAGCACAGCAGGGGGTGTTATCACAGACAGGCGCAGCCGCCTGTCCACAGCCAACGTGGACAAGCTCACTTTTATTAATATGAACCAGGCATGGATCCCACCAGACTTGTCTGTACCTTGTGCAGAATAGACATTTATATCAGCCTCACCCAGCCATTGTTATACTCAAGTGCACTTATTCTTTGTTTTCTTTTTTTATATGTCCCAATATTTTGGGGGCTACCCCAATAAATAAACATAAAAAACAAAAAACAAACAATTAAAAAACACTGTTGGCTACCTCCTCCTCCACCGCTGCTTCCACCTACACCGCCACGGTGTATACCCAGATATATCAGAGCTGCTGCAGAAAGTGCGGGCTGTCTGTGCGTGCTTTCGGCGTTCTTACCCTGCTGCTGCTCGCCTGTTTGCGCTGCAGCGGAACTTCGGCCTTCCTGCTCACCGCCTTATGAGACTGTGCAAGCAGCAGCAGGCGATAGTGGAGTTTCAGCTGCAGCACGCACGGGTCAGTCGCTCTGCGGAACAGAGTTTTCTTTTTTTATATGTCCCAAAAAATACAAACAAATAAAAACCAGTGTTGGCTACCTCCTCCTCCACCGCCGCTTCCACCTACACCGCCACGGTGGAAATATCTCAATTTAGCTGCACTCAATGGAATATAATTGAAAGTCACTTCACAGATCATAAACCATAAATTGTAGTCCTAAAGTAGCAGCTTCCAATTTACACAAGAATTATTTTCAATATCGGTATTCTAAACAGATAAAAAAAAAAGCAAACAAAAAACATTTCTATTAAGTGTTCTAATGTCACATTTTCAAAGCTAGACTTTGAGAACAATGCAACTAGCATTTCAATGCCTCGTTCTTTGTTTGTGTTCTCCTTTAGATAGTCCCTTGAGACCCCAGGAAAGCCATTCGAGCGAATGTGCCTTACATATAAATAATGTCAGCGCATAATAAATTGAGAACACTACTTCCCACTGAATAACTTAAGCTGACTCATAATAGAGAATTTCGTTTTTCTGGTACTCATACACCTTACAGCAATACTATAAAGAAGTTAAAATAGGCCCGTTGTTTTAACAATTTATTTTTATATAAAGTTAAGTAATGCATTTAAAAAATATAAAAAAAAAAAAAAATGAATCCAGAATAGATACTCATATTTAAAGTTGCTGCATTTACAATAACCTCCATAACTTAGCACTACCAAGACAATGGAGTGGTCAGCCAATCAGGATACTCCAATTATTTTCTATGGCAGCTTTCAAGCAGCTGTGTCCCATACATCTCTGCACACTAGGACCTGGAACTTGTAGTTCAGTTATCAGCTTTTCACATATGAAAGCCATTAGCTCAGTTATTACACCACACTGTTGTTTCTGGGGAAGGGACAAAAAGGGAGCTGTTACTGTACTGCAGTTACTGTTACAGTACTGCAGAAATCAGCAAATATTAAAGGGACACTATAGTCACCAGAACAACTACAGTTTATTGCATGTGTTCTGGTGAGTAGAATCATTACCTTCAGGCATTTTGCTGTAAACACTGTCTTTTCAGAGAAAATGCAGTGTTTACATTACAGCCTAGTGATAACTTCACTGGCAACTCCTCAGATGGCTGCCAGAGATCCTTCCTGGGTAATTGCTGCCTAAAATGCATCACAACATTCAGTATCTCCACCATCTGCATGCCGACACTGAACTTTCCTCATAGAGATTCATTGATTCAATTCATCTCTATGAGAAGGTGCTGATTGTTCAGGGCTGTGTTTGAATTGTGCTGGCTCTGCCCCTGATCTGCCTCCTTGGAAGTCTCAGCCAATCCTATGTGGAAGCATTGTGATTGACTCAGGCCACCACTTCTGATGATGTCCGCAGGCAGTGGGCAGGTCAAAAGGAAACTGGGACAAGCAAGCAGCTCCAGACTTAAATACAAGTAAGATGTTACTATATTTAGGGAGGCAAGAAGGAGCCAGGGGGGCTAGATGGTGGTTTTAACAGTACATGGTCAGGAATACATGTTTGTGTTCCTGACCCTATAGTGTTCCTTTAAGTATTTTATTAAGGGTAGGCAAAGCAGGATAGTCAACATTTTTGCCAAAACTATACAAAACTGGAAATGCATACAATATATTAGAATTTAGAACAATAGCTATAAGACGGCTAAAATCTTATTTGGTTCCTGGAGTGTCCCTTTAAATTAACATAAAACATTAATTCTCAAAGCAGCACACCTTAATCCCTAGATGATTCTCACGTTCCCACAAAACTTTGGTTAATAAATCCATATGATTGTTGTATATAATGGAACAAACTGACAAATGCTGGTGATAATACCTTCTCATATCTATGTCAACATCACGCCCTGAGCATGTTTCTGTAGAATCACTATATCGCCGCTGAATATATTAGCTGTGTGACCTGCATACTAATCTGCTGAAATTGCTGAGATTTATGCTTCCTATTGATTATTATGTCTAGAACTTGTATGTACTCAGATCTCTTAGGCTTGTCAAAGGTAACCCCAAAGGACATTCAGTGTGTTTTCGATGAAGTTTAACTTGGGAAATTAATATTCTAGTAGTATTGTACATATTCTGTTAATTTAGTTGATGAATCTATGAAATGCTTTATTAGTTTAACTGAAATTCTATATATCTCTGAAACCTAAAATATGTTTAAAAGTTTACACTGAGTGCTTGTTCTTGTTAATAAGGTGGCTATATTGTGTTATTGCTAGCAAGTTGTAACCTAGGTAATTGCAACACTCAATAGAGACTTCTCTATTCCCATTGTGAGAAATGTGGATTTGACTATGGTTTGTGTTTGTTTGCTTGTCTTTCTTTTAAGTGTCAGTGCAAATCAGGGGCGTATCCAAAACCTAATCTCGGGAGGGGCACTGGCAATCTTTAAAAAAAAAATCCAGGCACAATAACCACTCTCTGTAGTGGTTATGGTGCTATGAGTGCCATTGCTCCCTCCCAGAGTAAATAGTCAAACCATTTTAAAAACAGTTTGACAACTTACCTGGGATCTGCCGGGATAGGGGCAGTAGTGTATGTGTGAGGGGTGATGTATGTGTGAAGGGGCAGTGTGTGTGTGTGTGTGTGTGAGGGGTGACGTGTGTGAAGGGGCAGTGTGTGAGGGTCAGTGTGTGTGTGTGTGTGTGTGTGTATGTGTGGGACAGTGTGTGTGAGGGGAGCAGGTTGTGTGAGGGGTGTGCATTGTGTGAGGGGTAAAGTGTGTGTGTGTTAGGGGTGCAATGTGTGTAAGGGGTGTAGTGTGTGTGTATATGAGGTGCAGTGTGTGAGAGGTGCAATATGTGTATTTGGGCAGTGTGTGTGAGGTGTCCAGTGTGTGTAAGGGGTTGCAGTGTGTGTGTGAGTGGCGCAGTGTGTATGGCGGCAGTGTGTTTTTTGGGGGGTAATGTGTGTATGAGGCAGTGTGTATATTGAGGCAGTGTGTGTGCATGGGGGCAGTGTGTGTATGGGGGCAGTGTCTGTATGGGGGGCAGTGTGTTTGTGTGTGGTGCAGTGTCTGACAGTGTAAGTAGTTATTTCTGTGAGGGGATAGGGGGCAGATTAAATATATTATATATATTTTTTATTATTAAAATGCATATAGTTAATATCCTCCCTCACTTCTTACCTGAGGCCTGGGAGGGGGGACAGTGCTTCCAATCCCTGGTGGTCTTAGTGGTGAGAGTGAACTCTAGCCTGCAGCTTATGCTGGAGTTCACTCTCGTAAGAACGGAGCATTGCCATAGTAACCCCGGCAATGCCCCGAGATTGTGAGAGGAGAACCCAGTGGAGCTGCAGGTAAGAGCACCCCCGGTCGTCTCTTCCTCCCCTGCCGGCTTCCCAGTTAGGTACCTGTGGGCCGGTTAGGGAGATTGATGACCTCCCCTCTGGTCTGTGAAAGCAAACAGCAGGGCCAGTGCTTGGATAGCACCAGCCCTGCAAGGGCCAGCAGGGGAGACCCTCGGCCTCACTATTTCCTCAGGGGGACAATTGCCCCACGTTGCCCCCACACCACTGGATTTGCCAAATGTGCAAATGTTTTTCCATTAAAATTTCAAGGATAGCTATTTCAATTTGAATCATATAAATATTCATTGGTATCCAACAACATAACGAGAACTACAAAATAACTCGATTGTAAACAAGTGATTGTAGAATGGTAATTGACATTCATTCTCCAGTCATTTACATTTTAAGACTTCAATTAAAGAAACCATGTTTTCTCTAGCCATGTGAAGGCAATATATTGCCATAAAGCCTCATATGGAAGGATATTAAAGGGACCCTGTGGGCACCCAGACCACTTCAGCTCAAGAGGTCTGGGTGCAGTGTCCCTATTGCCCTTAGTCCTGCAATGTAAAACATTGCAGCACTAAGATGATTCTGGGATCTTACTGGACTTTAAATCGCCTGACGCTGGAGTATAAATCCTTATACTCAAAGCATTGAAGCAATGCTTTCGTATGGAGAGGATCTAATGGCTTGCAGTGCTTGCCCTGCATGCACATTAGTCCATCCCCTTTCGGATGATGATAGAGGAGCCGGATCACTGACAGAATCGGCGCGGAAATCAGGTAAGTGATTAAAGGGTTTTAACTCTTTACTGGTCAGGGCCGCAAGGGAGCGGGGAGGCAGAGGATACAGCTTTGTCTTCCTAACACTATAGTATCCCTTTACTTATCCACCATTCAAATGTATGTACATAGAAGAGGAAGGATCCCCTGATGACTTTGTGCAATTTTTAGAATGGAGCTATTTATTTTTTCCATAAAGTATGTCTGCTGATAACATTGGTCTTATCAGTATTTCCGTTTAATACATTGAATGGCATCTTACTGTAATTTCTAACTCTGTCTATGAATTAGTCCTGTTTGATGGATTTAGGAACCTGTGTTTTTAAACCATGAATGATTAAGAATTTTTATTACAACTTTGCTTATTTTATCAGGCATACTAAATGTAAACCAATATGATACAAATAATGAGACAATAACTTTATATTTTGTGAACAGGAACATTTGAACCTTTTCCCACACATTTAATGACATTTTTCTTTCATTTTTTTTTGCAATTTGCTTGCCAACTTACTGTTTAGTAAATTTACTTCCCAGTAATTCCATATTTTTTTTATTTGTAAAACTAGGCATTGACTTGCCTTAGCAAACATTCTTTCTTCAGTTATTTCCAACCTGCATTTTCACTTCCTTACATCAATCACGGTATTCTTCCTTATCACATCACCTGTCTAACAAAATAAGCTACCTGGGATCTAGATAGTAATATAGCAAGATTTACTCAATCCAACAAGATTTCTTATCAGATTTCAGTAAGGCTTTTGACACTGTGGCACATAGAAGGCTTATCAATAAACTGCAATCTTTACATTTGGATTCCAATATTGTTGAATGGGTAAGGCAATGGCTGAGTGACAGGCAACAGAGGGTTGTAGTCAATGGAGTATATTCGAAGCATGGGCTTGTCACCAGTGGGGTACCCCAGGGATCTGTACTTGGACCCATTCTCTTTAATGTTTTTATTAGTGATATTGCAGAAGGTCTTGATGATAATGTATGATGATGTTCCAGGAGGGATAAGCCAAATGGCAAATGATTTAGGTAAACTAGAAAAATGGTCAGAGTTGTGGCAACTGACATTTAATGTGGATAAGTGCAAGATAATGCATCTCGGATGTAAAAACCCAAGGGCAGAGTACAGAATATCCTAACATCAAAATCTGAGAAAAGGGATTTAGGGGTGATTATTTCTGATGACTTAAAGGTAGGCAGACAATGTAATAGATCAGCAGGAAATGCTAGCAGAATGCTTGGCTGTATAGGGAGAGGTATTAGCAGTAGAAAGAGGGAAGTGATCATGCCATTGTACAGAACACTGATGAGACCCACTTGGAGTATTGTACGCAGTACTGGAGACCGTATCTCCAGAAGGATATTGATACTTTAGAAAGAGTTCAGAGAAGGGCTACTAAACTGGTTCATGGATTGCGGGATATAACTTACCAGGAAAGGTTAAAGGATCTTAACATGTATAGCTTGGAGGAAAGACGAGACAGCGAGGATATGATTTAAATACATAAAGGGAATCACAGTAAAGGAGGAGACTATATTTAAAAGAATAAAAACTACCACAACAAGAGGACATTGTCTTAAATTAGAGGGGCAAAGGTTTAAAAATAATATCCGGAAGTATTACTTTACTGAGAGGGTAGTGGATGCATGGAATAGCCTTCCAGCTGAAGTGGTACAGGTTAACACAGTAAAGGCGTTTAAGTATGCGTGGGATAGGCATAAGGCTATCCTAACTATAAGATAAGGCCAGGGACTAATGAAAGTATTTAGAAAATTGGGCAGACAAGATGGGCACATTGGTACTTATCTGCCATCACATTCTATGCTTCTATGTTATCACATCTGATGCAGCAAAAACGTAGTTCTATTCTGACATGAAAATGATCTGTTCTTTTACTCCTGTATATGTCCTGACCAATATTATCTCCCACAAAGTAGACAGGCAGCAAACTCCCATCTCCTTACCTGATCACTTTACTTTTACAGAATTCTAAATCAACTGCTTAAAGGAGCACTTAAAGCACCATAAACACTACAGGCCACTTCAGTACCATTTGTCAGACTGTCAGAAAATGTGAGCTGGGTGGCCAAAAACAAAAACATGGACACAACATATACATTGATATTAAATTATCAAAAAAAAAAACAAATTCCAAAAGGAATATCCTGATAAATTCTATTTCAGTAGGTTATTTGTTAACATTTCTGTCTGTTTTTATAAGAAAGATTTATCAAGGCACTATAGGTGTTATTTTCAGAATAATGTGCAAAATGTTGAGAGATGTTTTATTGGTTGCCATGGTAATTGCTCATTATTAAGCAGTTTATTTTGCACTGATATATCTCGCACTAATGACTAATTATGAACTGTTGTTTTCCAATTTTCCAGCACGGTTATAAACGTGTCACAAGAAGGAACAACATATGCAACTGCTTTCTTCAATACCAGCAATCTATTCAGAGATGAGAAAGTCAGTATAAATTTAAGTCATTATACGGAGGTCCATACGGGGAAGATGAAAAGATATGAAAGAGGTATAAAAAAATAAAATAATCACCTGTTATGATATGTACCTTCTGGCCAGGCACTTTGCTTTGTTACTTTTAATATATTTTTTTCAAAGTATATGCTGTTATATCTCAAATTTATCTGCAGCTAATGACAACCATCTGCCTTTAGCTTCTGCCGATGACGTGGTTATAATTATTTTATACTTGCACCAACTGAACTACAATGTAATGTTCTGTATGTTAACTGGAAAGAAAGTAATAAACCACATCTATGTTCTATAGCAATATAATGTTTGCAACAAGACAAAGGATCAGTGGGGAAATTTCACTGCAATAAAATGAAAGTGAACGACTGCAGCAAGATTTGCCGAGGATGAAATGTAAGCAGTGTTCTAGAAACAAGACATCTGGCAATCACAATCCAATAATGGATTTCTGAAACAATTACTGTCTTCAGTTTCCAAATAAATATTAAGCATGTACTTTCTGTGAAGTGAGAAGAATATTCCACAAAGGTCCAAACAGAACAAGAGAAAAATATTAGGCTTAGGTGATGTGATTGGATCCCGTAAACCTGTAGATTTCTCCTTTTGGATCTTAAGCTAAGCTTTCTTTTCTAGAATTCAGCTATTATTTAGGACGTTGTATTTAAGTGACTTACTGAATTTCACTGAATCTCATTGATTTGAAGGGCCGTACTAGCGTGCTTCGCAAAAGAAAACCATACTCAGAACAGAATATTTGAGTGGGCATTGAGAAAAATAAACTGCTCTTTTAAATAGATGTTTTAATAGTGAAGTGCTTTCCTAAGGCAAAGTAATAACAGTCTTTGTAAATTGGGGAGATTTGGATTTAAAGGAGTACTGTCACTTCTCAGAATTTAATATCTATTATCTTATTAGCTTATCCCCTTCATACAGCCAAGGTGTTTGTGGTGTCTGAAAAAATATGGGATGAGGGGTGGGGGGTGGGGGGAATAAATAATGCTTCTGTTTATCCCTCGATGTAATGTGTGCCCTGGATGAATAATTTATGAAAATATGAAAGAAAACCTTTAACACAAGTTAGATACGATTTTATGTGATGTTCAACCTTTTTTTCCAATTGTGTTAATTTCATAAATGTGTTGGTTCCCCTTTAAAAGTCATACACTGTTTGGCCTTGATATAAATGCCAGCAGGCAGATAGCATCACATGATATTTTTCCACTTCTGGTCAATGACAACAGTTTTAGATTAAATATTACAGGTATAGATAGGGTACCAGTCCGAGGGTGATTATGAGAAATATAATGTGAAATAAAACTCATTTAATCTCTTTTTGCTGGCAGTTGATGAGTGTGATGACTTTGCAAAAGTATCCTGGGTCATCTTGTATATAGTGTTTTGCTGCTACAGTTCACACAAACCTCCACACAATCATTAGTAGCAATGAGTGAGATCACTAATTTACTGATAGACACACTTCAACAACTAGAATGAGCATGGTGGACAGCAATCCCTATAGAATGTAAGCTCGATTGAGCAGGGTCCTCTTCAACCTATTGTTCCTGTAAGTTTATTTGTAATTGTCCTATTTATAGTTAAATCCCCTTTCATAACATTGTAAAGTGCTACGGAATCTGTTGGCGCTATATAAATGGCAATAATAATAATAATAATAATTTAGAATTAAAAATGATTCTAACTTAAAAGACAACTGTCATCAAATTTTCCCTTCTCGTTTCTTAAAAGTTTTACCCAGAGCAATCACAGCAGCAGGCAAGTTAGATTGAGCACCAGTTGGTCAGATAATAATGATGATAGAGTTTTAATTAAAAAAAAAAAAAATATAGTTTACTAAAGTTTCACTAAATGTAATAAAGCTACAAAAAACGAGAAGTAAAAATGTGACGACAGTTGTCTTTTAAAAGATAAACCAAAAGGTTAGGCAGATTTTTAGAAGAGGAAAAAAAATGTGAGAAATTTTTGTCCAAAGATTTTTTTGAAAGTATATGCCAATTTGAATGTCCTCGTAACAGAGTAATTACTCTGTTGCCTTCAAGATAAAAATGATAATTCATTATTTTAAAGGTCCCTATCAAACTTGTCTATGACTAGCAGCTGAATATGGACCAAACTGTGAGAGGTCTATCAGATTATTCTGCATTGAGACAAAGACCTTTTATTCACAGCAACAAGTGCTGACAGACTTCTTAAATTTCTGCCACTGAACAGACTTGCCATAAGCATGCTGTTTTACACTCTAGATAATTCTGCAAAGCTCAAACAACTAAACAACTCTATTATTTGGCTTTTTTGAGATTCTAGTTCTTTTGTTTATGATTTAAAAATATTTCTCCTGTTTGGACATTGCATCTAGAATACTGGATGTCGCCACTAAATACAAATAGAAGACAAATCAGCGCCTACCTGAAAGGTTTTGATAGAATTTAAAAACGCTCCATTATCACTTTCAAATGTATATATTAGGCTACAATTGGTTACACTAGAAATCAGCCCTGCTAGTTGTAGCTATTCTTTACCTGTGGGGATCACTCATCAGTGGTTCCCAACCCAGTCCTCAAGTACCAGTCCAGGATTTAGGTATTACCCTGTTGTGTCAAGTGTTCTTTTCTCCTTTCCTAAAAACATCTTAGACACAACTGGGTAATTCCTGAATCCTGGACTGTTAGAGGGTACTTGAGGACTGAGTTGGGAACCACCACTCTATATGAAATATAGAAGCTGGATTTTCTTGGGCAGCCTGTTGTTCAAGGTGAAGGTTAAATTAGGATAAGTGCCAATGGAGTGCTCTAATGGTGCCAACTCCTCATTTAGCACTCAGCTACATTTATTTAAACCACCATCTGCAGCATAGAGCTACAGATATATTAGGGAGCCAGGACCCCCTCCTGGTTAGGTAGAAATTGGAAGATCCCTAATAATTCTGTTTAAACCCTCACATGCCGCACACTAGATGAGGGTATTAGAAGGAGCTATGCTCCCTCATAGTTACACTAGAGTCCAGGAGGCAGGAGCTCCCATTCATTTATTTAACCCCCCAACAGCTATACACTGGCTAAACTGTGCAAGATGGAAGCCAATTCTGCTTCAATGTTAAAAGCAGGTTTTGTTATTAATGAAATGAACATGCATAATTAATGTATTCAGGGCTCTCTCAGTTGCCATTCAGCCTACATTTTTCTAGTTTCAATTTGGCCCAATTAAATAGAGATTTATCTCATTGTCAATACAGTGAATTTCACCTGAATTAAATGTGCTTAGTTGTACTGGTCAAATCTGAACATGCAAAAGTATTTAGTGAAAAGTTTCCTATAATGCTTTAACATTCTGATCAACCATCAGAAAATCAACACTTATGAAATAGTTTATATAGGGCCTTATGAAAGTGTTATCTACTCTACAGATAATTTGGCTGAAAGATCACAAGTATTTTAATTTAAGTTTTACCTTACACTATCTTAAAGGACTACTTCCTCTCAATTACGTGCTTTGGATGAAGTAGTCCTTTAGTTTTAACCCTGCTTCTGCTGTGAGAGCCGAGTTTAAAAAGTTCTCACAGCGAAGCTTCATTTTCATTGGAGAAGCAAAGTGCTGGCTGCTCATGTACTTTCATCCCCAGTGCTTCTCTAAGAGGAGCTTTCAATTGGATGAAAGAAGCATTGGCATGACATCGCAGGAAGTGAATCGAGTGACTGCAGGGACTCAATATCCTTTATTACAATTTTTATTTAGATTTAAGGGGGAACCTTAATCTAAATAAAGAGGAGACCACTATATAGGTTTGTATTTCTAATGCCATAGTGTTCCTTTAATGGCCATTTGGTTTTGTTTCTAGAAATTTAGCGAATAACTACTGCCCTTAAACAATACAGCATCAAAACATGGAGATTGCATATTTTATTTTGACAGATGCTGTTTATGTTAATCCAAAAACTCTTGTGTGGGATAAAGCTAAATCAAAACCTGTTTAATAGATAGGATACAAGCTTAAAGTACCAGTACAATCAGAATAAAAAGCATTGCACAATCCAGGTCATTCTAGAGAATATCATTGCATAGTGGATAATTCATATTACGGTTTATCCTATAAAATATGCCTTTACCTTGCACCCCACCACTCACATGACATTTTGGTAAATACCCAGGAAAACAATGCAAGATCATGCTGCATATAGACCATTTCCACTAGGAAGTAAGCAGTGTACATACCTGTAACCCTTCAATAGCTAGTCTGAGGATAGAAGGAGTAAGTTTGGAAGCTTGCTTGAAGGAAAAATTGCTCCAATCTATAATCAATATAAATCCATTAATTTGAAGTTCCTGGTCTTCAATGAGAACTTCCAGTGACAGTAGAATGGCCCTCAGGATGTCCACAAATGTATTCCTTTAAATAAATAGATACGTTAATAAGTAACACAAGAAGAACTACTCTAAACAAAAAAGCAGTGGGGGTACTACTGCAACAGGGCCTACATGTTGAGGGAGTCCATTGGGTGGCCCATGCACTTAGGAACATTAAATGGCAAAGTGTCTTCAGGGGTCCAGTCGTACCTGCTGCCCTTTAACAGCACATCCAGGCTCCTTTAATACCAGCAATGGAAGGAGAAGACAGAGAGGAGGGAAACACAGATTTGGAGAGTATCAAAATCTCCCAACAGCCTTAGCCAGCAGACCAAAGCCCAGGGAAGTCACTCTCCTGCACCCAAAAGGTTGGAAACAGGAGGGTGACTAAAATGTGTCTGTGTCTTTGTGTAACTAGCTGTGAGTTTGTATATGTGTCGGAGTGTATCTGCATGTGTGTGTATGTGCGCATGTGTGTGTATCTGTATGTATCTGTGTATCTGTATGTGTGCATATGTGTCCCTGTGCATTTGCATGTGTGTCAGTGTGTGCATCTGTGTGTCTGTGCATCTGTATATGTGTCAGTGTATGTATTGGTACAAATGTCATTGTGTATATCTGTGTTTATTTCTTTATCTGCATGTGTGTCAGTGTGTGTGGCTCTGTGTTAGTGTGTTTGCCTGCATATTTGTATGTGTCAGTGTTTGTTTCTGTGCATCTGTGTATTTGTATGTCTCAGTGTGTGTCAGAGTATGTATATGTGCTTCGTTATGTGCTCCTATGTATTTGTGTGTCCTTGTATCTTTATGTGTGTCACTGTGTGTGTGTGTGTGTATGCATGGCATTGTGTGTATCTGTGTGTCTGCATGTGTGTCATTGTGTGTATATGTGTGTCTGTTGATAGATATATATAGCCAAAAGTACAAGATAGCACTCCAGGGACTTCCAAGTTGAATGAATAAAACTTAGCTTTTATTAGCTCAAAATAAAAATCAACGTTTCAGTCTGTATCACAGACTTTCAAGTGAAAGTCTGTGATACAGACTGAAACGTTGATTTTTATTTTGAGCTAATAAAAGCTAAGTTTTATTCATTCAACTTGGAAGTCCCTGGAGTGCTATCTTGTACTTTTGGCTGTATCTGTTTGCTGATAAGCACCGGGCAAGTACATCAAGGAAGGTGGAGTGCATTACTATTTTTGATATATATATATATATATATATATATATATATATATATATATATATGTTAGTGTGTCTGTGTATCTGCACATGTGTCAGTTTGGGTCTGTGTATATGCGTGTCTGTACCTGTGAATACATATGTGTTTTAGTGTTTGGATCTGTACATGTGTCATGTGTGTGTATCTGGATGTGCATACGTGTGTATCTGTGTCTGCATGTGTGTATGGCAGTGTATATGTTTATGTGCATACATCTCAGGATTCAATGCCAACACCACACAAATACACTACTGCATCCAACATCAACACTACATACAGAAACACTCCTACATCCAAAGGCAAACACTACACACAAGTAAACCCTTGCTTTCAAAAGACAACAGTAAATAAAAATACACAACACAAGACTACACACAAATACACCCCTATATTCACAAACACGTATTCCATACAAAAACATGATTGCATCCAAACAAACAATGCTCAGTGCTAAATACAACTCTGCAAGGATGGACAAATTGTTGCTCTCGAACAGGCAAAGCATCGTGGGAGTTGTACAACAGTTGGGGGATCTACCTTTTGGACATTCTTGCAATAGGGTGGCGATACGGTGGCCTAAACTATTTTTTGCACCAGTGCCTTATTAGGACTACTTCAGTTCCGCCACTGCAAACTAGCTAATGTATATAGTGTGTTCGGATAAATTGAGCTTGCATAAAATCGAGAACAGTGCATGCCATACAAAGCAGCAATAAAGGCAAAAATATATTGGTTTTTGATTCTTAATATTTAAGCTGGTATATACAGGAAAATAAAGATTTACTTCACTAATCACCATTCAGGGTATCAATTGAATAAATTACATGACAAAATGAACAGTATAAATAAAACATACACAAGTTTCAAACTGTTCTCCAATATAAAATTCTATTAATAATGTAAAATGTGTTTAGAAGGGGCGGGGCCTGAGCTTCATGGTAGCTGGACGCGTTTCACGAGAGCTCCACAGCTAAACGGAGAATTAAGTGGCTATATAGCGTCCCAGCTCACCTACCTCTCTACCAAATCAAACTTTTGATGGAGGTTCCAGCGGAGCCTGGAGAACTAGCTGGGCGGGTGAGGCAGTCGCTCTCCCGCATGGCATACGGCACTACTTTGGCAAGGGGCAATCACAGGCCCGCTACCCCCCCCTTGGACCGGTGGGACTTATCCCGGTCCAAGCTGGCCAGCCACCGAAAATCAAAGACACTGTACCTGATCTTACTTGACACGAAGCTCCCCCTGTCAAGATGGCGACTGCACTCCCACCTTGTGGCCCAGAACCCACACAGGATAAGAGAGAATGCCCTAAAAACGTCCAGCAATCTATGAAGAGACTGGATGAAATATTTGACCGCTTTTGGGCCTCTCTGGAGGAGAGAAAAGCAGCACTAACATCTCAGCCTCTGGTAGCAACTGAAGAGACGAACAACCTGGAGGAGTGTAGGCCTACCCAGGGCCCTATACATACACAAGCACGCGCACCTCTCAAAACCGTCTCCCCAGGGCTGAGAGTCAAAATCCCACTATGACGCCCTAACTTCTGGACCAAGGTGAGGGAACGCATGGCAGCTCCTGCTCACAGATGCGCAGAGCCTGCAGGGCGGCTTAGGGAAAGGAAGCGAGGGAGGTACCCTCTGGGTACCAGCAAAGTGACCATGACTAAATCTCCCAGAGTATGCCCGCCTGGACCGAGGGCCACCAAGGGTTTTCCCCCTAAAGCATCGTCCACGACAGCGGAGGTCCATGGGCCTGAACCAGTGGCACACCATCAGGACCTTACGCAATCCCACTTGTGGGAAGGACTTGGACTCAGAGAGCCCCAGAGTCCGTGGCTCAGTGGTGTTGGCCCCAAGGGCTGGAGGGAAGCCACCCTGGGACACTGCCTAGCCATACCACTACTGGATACATGCACCCCAGAGAAAGCCTCTTCCTCATGGCCTCTGTGCGGTGTGGGCTGAAGGCTACTCAAGGACACCTCTGTTATACGGTACCACAGAGTTGTATTACTCCCTGCCTTCCACATGTCCCTCACTGGCTGAGAGTGACCACAGAGGTCCCATTCATCTGCAGACTATATGCACCATGTTCCCGGTTGGTACATCTTGTTAATTAAGAGACCTATGTTTCAAGACAAGCAACGTAGGCATGGGATTCCAGCCTGCACTCCTGCTCCGATCTTAGTTATTTAACGACACATCAGCACGCTCCTTGAACTTTCCGATCATGGGTGTCAGCTGACTGGTGACTCTCTCATACCCATAGACCTGTCGCCTACCATCTGAGTCCCTTAAGATTCAGACCACCGCGGTCCGGATGACCTGCTTAATTTTACTATGCTCCAGTTACTGTTTGTTATTAATAGTTTACCTAGCATGCTACACCAATTTATTATACTGTGGTCAGCACCCGTCCTATATGGAGAGATACAGTTGCAAGAAACAGTATGTGAACCCTTTGGAATGAATGGATTTCTGCACAAATTGGTCATAAAATGTGATCTGATCATCATCTAAGTCACAACAATAGACAATCACGGTCTGCTTAAACTAATAACACATAAAGAATGAAATGTTGCCATGTTTTTATTGAACACACCATGTAAACATTCACAGTGCAGGTGGAAAAAGTATGTGAACCCCTAGACTAATGACATCTCCAAGAGCTAATTGGAGTGAGATGTTAGCCAACTGGAGTCCAATCAATGAGATGAGATTGGAGGTGTTGGTTACAGCTGTCCTGCCCTATAAAAAACACATGGCTTTCACATGGCTACAAGATATTTATTTATAGATAATAAAAAAAAAAAATAAACTCTTGTGTTTCATCAGTCTAGCTATTCACTTTAAAACTTTTGGATTAAAGATGTCACAATTAACTATAGCAAGGTCCCAAAGATGCAAAGTTCGTATGACTTGGCATTTTAGAGACCTGGTTAGCCAGTTGTAAAACTGGTGATCAACTCACAACTTTGCTGGAACTTGTATTAGTATACTTGCTGGTGATGGTCCAAAATTGGTCAGCTATGCACTAATCAATGGAGTAGCAAGGACAGTGGTTCCAACCCAGACCTCATAGCATACCAACAAGCCAAGATTTAGGTATTTCACAAATCTGTTTTTATGAGAGAACTGTCAAAACATGGATTGCTGGAGTTCCTTAAACATTGGTTTGAGAACATGTATGAGTTGTACCCAAGAAGTTGTGGTGCTCATGAACTGGTTGAAGGCCACAAAAAATATAAAAAAACCAGTTGTTTGCTACGTACAGTGTATAAGTTCAGAAAAAAAGTATATACAAACTCCATAAAAGAAAGCAATCGGCAAACTAAATACATCTCTAAAGCAATATTTTATCTTAATACCAGATCAGTTTTAAAGTAACCAAACTGTCAAAGGAACGTTCATGTAATAAGCTATTTCAATACTTCAATAAATACCTGCTGATAATACAAATCCACAATTATTTACACTTGCTTGATTGCAAAGTTACATGAGGGGGGGGCTGTATTATAGAGAGGGACCAATGTGCTTTGAGACAGAAGCATGTTGGGAAGGATGGACACACTGAACTGCTGGAAAATGAATAGTGCTCTACAGGGAAGAAAGTGGGGTGCATTGTTTTGGGGATATAGTGAGGCCTTGTGCTGTAGTTTGAGGGAATGTGCTTTACCGTGTAGGGGGTAATTGAATTGTGAGTATGATATATTTAAATAGTAAATTCTAAAATAAGTCAAGTCTATTTGCAAAGCATGTAATTTCCCTAAGAGTTAACATTAATTTGGAGCGTATTCACTTTCTGTGTACATTTGGTACCTAGTGCGGTGAGTCTAAACCATGCTGCAGACACTTAAAAAAAATACAACACAAAACTGGATTTTGTAATACAAATTGCAATGAAAATGTAAAGAGATTCTGATAGTTTTTCAAGAACCCCAAATAAATATATGCTTTTAGAAGTCAGAGTACTGCAAACTACATGCTTATATTGTGGGACATGTTAATCTCCAAAGTTATTGTGCTATGCTTCCCAAGCTATAAGAAATGTTATATATTCTGTGCAACAGGGTTTTAAGTATCTCTCATCATCTTTTCCTGGTCGCAATGGGAGTAGCTGGTTTACAAATAAGAGATATAATGATGCGCCTGTACAGAACTGAAAATTACATTATCATCAGAAGACATCCCATCAAAGCACTGCAGAGGTAGAGGAGATTGGAAAAGATACAATGCAGGAGAAATTGCTGCGGTTATTGCTTCTAAACCTCTTGGGGTGTTTTACTGCAGTTTGGGAAACGACTGCAAAACACACAAAGACGTACAACAATATATTAACGGGATTGGGCACTTGTCAGCCTATTTTATATCTATCATTTTATTTGTCAATTTTAACAGTAATGTTTAGTAGTATGGGATTCAACCCTCCAATTCCCATCATTCTAGGGAATCAGTAGACGCACAGAAATAGTTAACATTCATCAAAACGCCCCGCGGTTTTCTACGTCTGTTACGTCTAGAACATCTGGAGAAAAATGAGTGCAATGTGCCCTAGCTTAAATGAGACACACAGAAAGTTCTATGTAGGATGATAAATCGAGGTGGAACACAAGAGAAATATATGAAATTGATATATAATATATAAATTACACTGTTCCTGTGATCCAAGCAATTCTAAGTAAATTTCAACGCAAATGCAATAGATACAACTAAAAGTTTAATTCAAACAAAAAGATAACATTTAAAAAATGTGCCCAAAACAAACAAACAAAAAAAGACTCATTGCAGAAAGACTGAATGAAATAAGTATATTCATCTTTAAACAAGATTGATAAAGATCCCTGAAGAGATCGAAATGTGGCTGTATCGGTCATGTTTTTTCCAATAAATTCGCTGATGTATGGGCTACTTTACCGTTACTATATGGATTAGGGGTTTGCCAGCCCTAGGTAAAGTGCACCAAGATCTACAGGTGATGAAAGTGCGGATCCCTCTTTTTTTTTGCTATCAGAGACTTTGCATGACCTGGAGGCATTTTGCCAAGATGAATGGGCAGCTATGCCACCTGCAAGAATTAGGGGCCTCATTGACCACTATTACAAAAGACTGCACACTGTCATTGATGCTAAAGAGGACAATACGCAGTATTAAGAACTAAGGGTATGCTGACTTTTGAACAGTGGTCATTTCATTATTTTTTGGGCCATGTTTTGTTTTATGGGATTGAGTCCCATAACAAATAAAATAAATGTGTTTTGCCTGCTCACTCATGTTTTCTTTAAAAATTGTATGTATATTACCAATTCTCCAAGGATACAGTGAGGGAAGTACTTGATCCCCTGCTGATTTTCAACGTTTGCCCACTGACAAAGAAATTATCAGTCTATAATTTTAATGGTAGGTGTATTTTAACAGTGAGAAACCGAATAACAAAAAATCCAGAAAAACGCATGTAAAAAAAGTTATAAATTGATTTGCATGTCAATGAGTGAAATAAGTATTTGATCCCCTATCAATCGGCAAGATTTCTGGCTCCCAGGTGTCTTTTATACAGGTAACGAACTGAGATTAGGAGCACTTTCTTAAAGGGAGTGCTCCTAATATCAGCTTGTTACCGGTATAAAAGACACCTGTCCACAGAAGCAATCAGATTCCAAACTCTCTACCATGGCCAAGACCAAAGAGCTATCCAAGAATGTCAGGGACAAGATTGAAGACCTACACAAGGCTGGAATGGGCTACACGACCATGGCCAAGCAGCTTGGTGTGAAGGTGACAACAGTTGGTTCAATTATTCGCAATTGGAAGAAACACAAAATAACTGTCAGTCTCCCTCGGTCTGGTGCTCCATGCAAGATCTCACATTGGGGAGTTTCAATGATCCAATGATGGGTTGAAGCCTAACCACACCCTGCAATATGACTTAAAGTACTCTGATTGGTTGATTCCAAGCCAACCAATCAGTGTGCTCTGACAGGTATATGAAGAGACTGACAGGCCATTGTCATTTAGGGCCCCTCACCCGACGCTCATGGGTGGGGGCCAGGAGGGAGGACAATAGGTCCCCCCCTCCATTGTCATTCAGGGCCCCCATCAGCCGCTCATGGGTGGGGGCCTGGGGGGAGGACAATAGGTCCCCCCATTGTCATTCAGGGCACCCACCCGCCGCTCATGGGTGGGGCCTGGGGGGAGGACAATAGGTCCCCCCATTTTCATTCAGGGCCTCCACCCACCACTCATGGATCCCCCGCTAGGTCCCTCATTCAGTTTAATAGCCCCCACTCATGCAGCACGGGTGGGGGCTCAGTAGGGGGCTTCTTTTTTTTACAACAGTAAGCAGCCACATGCTGCTTAATGTTTAGTAGACATACCCCTACTCTCGATATCGCGAGTAGGGGCAGAATTTACTAATACTGAGTAATCTTTACTTAGTTTTAGTAAATTTGACTAAAATACCAATTTAGATCTTTCAGCCTTGTGGTAGATAGCTCCCTAATACCATGGGAATAGATCACGGCACGAATAGATCGGAATTTCATTAATTCAAATACAATTCTGCTCCGAACAAAGTCCCGAATTGCGTCCTAACATGAATGGAGAAACTGTTCTCATTCTGTTAGGATGAAATTCAGTACATTCGGAAATAGTGAAAATAGTGAAAGGAGGCATCGCGAGATCACGGAGGAAAGGTGAGAATTGTGGGAAATCGCTCTGACCACAGGAAATGAAGCACACTTTGCTCCTCTGCTGGTCATAGACGGTCAGGCGTAGGAAACCCCCATAAGACAAAAAGTCTCTACTTTGTCCTATGTTCTAAAGAAAACTAGAGCAGACAGGAAGAAATGAAGAACAGAGCCGGACAGAGGGAGTGAAGAGGAATCAATTGGGAAAGGTAAGTTCGGCATGACAGTGCCGCTTTAATTACTAACATGGAAATGCTCTCTAAATGATAGAGTAGTTCATTTTTAATTATATATATATATATATATATATATAAATAATAGTGCATTTACAGAAATGTAAATATTTGTATAACAATATTGAGGAATTTGCTCATTATGTACTTATATATTTTTCATAACAATTAATATATTTACACTACTGACTGTATAAAATGAGTTTAACATTATTTTACCCATGACCTAAATAAAGAGACTCCATTAACCCCTTCACATTGGAACTTGTGTATACACGATTGCCAGCGTATGAAGGGGGGCTGTCACTGTTCCTCTGCTGTATCCCTGTATTCACAGGGAGCATGTGAGGAGCTATCCTCCATGATGGTAAAGGTAATCAGAGGGTGACTGAGGCTGATAGCATTTAGAAAAGCTGGCTGAGGGCAGAAGGCACAGTGAAAGTGTGCTGTAAATCCTGACAGCAGCCAGTGCACACTCCCCTGCTCCATTACTATGTGATGATAATGGAGCAGGGAAACAGCATGATGGCTGCTGTCATGATTTACAGCACATTATCACTACTACACCATGATAAATGTGTGTGGTGTGTGTTCTAACAGTGTGTGTGTGTGTGTGTGTGTACGTCTGTGTGCATGCATATGTGTCTGACGGTGTGTGTTATTGGCAGTGTATGTGTGACAGTGTGTGTCTGTCAGCATGAATGTGTATATGTCTTTATCTGTGTGTGTTTGAGAATGTGTGTCTTTGTGGCAGCAGTGAATAACTGTGTGTGTTTGTCTTTCTGCCAGTTGTATCAGTGATTCATCGATTAATGAGTGCACATGAACGAGTGTATATCTGTGCGTGTATCAGAGTATTTATATATGTGCATGTATGAGTGTATATATGTGTGTGCCTAAAGTAGTAACATGGCTGCAATGATGGTGATATGTTATGGGTAACGTCATGGCAATGTAACAACATATATTATAATTATACAATATATATACACACACACACTTATTTACAACACTGTTTCCTCGCCTGTTGCTTCATTATTTCTTCAATATTTTTGTAAGGTTTTATTTCCAATCAAAATGTTTGTTTTAATTTTAAAATGTGCTTTCTATGCATACTGAAACAAACAAACAAAAAAAAACACATTTAAACTTTACTTTTCAGGGCATCCAAATTACTGGGCATGATTTTTCTGCAAACTGATTGGTAGTGAAGGGGTTATGGTTCAAAAGGAATATTAATTATTTGTGATTTTAAGGAACACTCCAAGCACTGTAAGCACTACCGCCAACTGTAGTGGGTATGTTGCAAGGAATGCCCTGGTGATCCACATTGTGAGTAGTGAAGCCATTTTAGAATGGAATGTCTTCATACCTGTGGTCTGCCAGGCACTCATCCCCAGTTCTTAGCTGGAAGCCCTCAGATGTGAAATAAGACTGGTGGTGCAGAACTTAGATCACTGGCTGAGAATACAGCTAATGCTGTAGATGCAGATGCTAGATGCAGGTCTAAGCTCAGGAGCAGGTCTAAGCTCAGGAGAGCTAATAGAACCTCCTAGGACAAAGCTTCATATTGGGGTAGGCCAGGACACTAAAAGCAACACAACCATTACAGTTCATTATGATGGTTATGGTTCTTGGAGTATTCATTTAACACATGAAGACCTGCATTCTATACTTCAGCCAATAAATGTTTGTAAAGCGCAGTTCTGGAGAAAAGTTTTAAAAATAGCAAATCAGCACAGACAATACAATGCTTTGTAATGGGAATAATTGTGCTTCATAAATAATGCCTATTATATCTTTAAATAGTGCATTAACATACATGCTTATAAAAAAAAATAAAAAAAAAAAAAAAAAAATTTAAATTTCACTGCTTCTACAAACTTCCAGAATTTAAGTAGTGAAATGAATGGATCAGTTTATAACAATTCCTAACCTGCTACATCGACAAACTGGCCTAAGACGAACACATTCCACACACTTCTGTATATCTGACACAATAAAAACATCATATTTTTGCGTTCGGTAATTTAAAACACATTTTCATAATATGAGATTGTTTGGAAAAGATTAAGATTCTATCTACATTTACCTACTCTGATCCCAGTTGGCTGCAAAAAGCAGGAGAATCTTTCGACCATAGTGGTCCCGGTTTTCAAGCACACCCGGAAATCCATCCATAAGCGCCCGTTTAATACCTGGATCATCCGCTTTGAAATTTTTGAACATGTCCAAGTTAAGTTGACGGTACTGGAAGTATTGAGCAAGAAGTCTGAAAGCCTCCATCTGATTAAATTTCCTGGCTCGTAGAAATCTTAAGATGAAGGCATCATCCGTCCGTAAGAACCCAATATCTGGTCTAGTTATAATCATGTCCCTGACTTGTTGAATATCCTGATGTAATGTGTCTGGGTTCTCATTTAATTCCAAACGAGCTTTATCTACAGTCTCTGGACTGAGTCCAGATTGTAAGTGGGTCATATTTGCACACTCTATCTTTTGTAAGATAAAAATTCAAAGAGATTTACAGCGGTAATACAGATCCCATGCAACAAGGCTCCTCATAAAATCCTTGAAAGTTGTAGGCAACTTTATAGATATGGACAGGAATGGGATGAGTGCTTTAATCTTCCAGACATAAATGAAGTAATGCAGGTATGATATTCTGCCCCAGGAAAAAATGGCTTGATTTCTAAAAAATAAATAAATACAAATGAAGAAACAAATGAGTATAAAATAATGCATTCAAAAATCAAGCAATGTGTCTTGGATAAATATTTATCTTATGCAATACAATTTTAAACTATTAAAGACCACTGATAGTATTTGTCACCATTTGAAACTGTTCCTTGGAGACTTTACTCTGATCAGGAATATCAAAATGTCTAAATTATATCTAGCAAGCTTGGCTTCAAGGACCAGATTTTAGTGATGCAATGGAAACATTAAAGGGTTAAACTGCAACATATAGAACAATGTAAATTAATTTTTTTATCAACTTATGAAAAATAAGTCATCTTTTCACGTTTCTCTCACCGAAAGCAACCTTTGCACGATTTCTCCTGTGCACTCTAATTTAATCTTCCCCTTGGAAGATGAAGTGTGCAGGTTTTATCAGAAGGAAGGTAAGCTTAAGCCAGGTTCTGGAATAATTACACAGACTTTGCTACACAATGTCTTACTTAACCGAACATTTCCCTGCCCAAATACAAAAATAAATATACACCCAATCAAAACATGTATGCATTTATTTATGCGTTGTTTCATTAAGGCATTCTAAAAGCAGCCTGCTTATCTAATACCTTTTGAAACCCTCCCCTTCTAAGCCAGCCCAGACTTACCATAACTATCCAATCAAAGACTTACTTATGCAGCTCAATGAGAAGTCTGTGCAAGGCAGGTGCAATTGCCGGCCTCTTGCGTTTAGTAAAATGAGCAGTTGTCTGATTGATAGCCAGAGGGGTGCAACAAGGTCAATTTATAAAAAGTATCAAATTCTATAGAAATCTGCACTTTTTGTAAAATAAGAAAAAAAGGACTCTCTCTTCACATATTTAACAATTATGTATTTGTGAGGAGCAAAGAATAAAACTAAAAGGTCCAAATCCATTTAGCTCCCTGTCAAACGTTGTTAGCTCTCTCTTTTGGTTAGGGCAGTCAGCATAAAGAAACCATACAGAGATGCAGAAAATGTAAACAGTGTTTTTGTCTCTCTTCCTGACTGTGCCTGGACTGAACAAGATTGTGATGCCATTTTCTAATTATTTAATGTAAATTAGAAAACAAAATGGAGCATCACATGAGAACAGAATAAGACACATTATATGTGAATTTCAATATAGGATGATGTGTGTGTATGTATATTCTAGATGCAAGGTGTGTGTTTATGTGTATAGTGGATGCAGTGTGTGTGTGTGTGTGTGTGTATGTGTTTGTAGTGGCTGCAGAGTGTTTGTGTGACATTTGTTCCATGTTTGTATCAAATCACATTGTCTTTTTCAAAGATGTTCAGATATTCAGTTTGCATTAAATACCTACTTTTTTGAATTACCTTGTTTTCTGTAAGCATGGAAATTAGATGATTCAGTTCATAAAGAAATATTAATATTCCATTCTTGAAGAATTATATATTATATAGTGTTTATGTTTCCTGAGCTGCTTGGCTTGGAAGTAGTGTTACTCCTTGCTAATGCTTCAGAGTTATTCGATACTGACCAACAATTACAGCTAGTTCTCTCAGTTTATTGCTCCAGCCTTTCCTGTGACAATGTAGCATATATCCAGAATGGAAGCAGATAATGTCCACCTACCACTATATTCATCCTTGCCCTAGCCTAACAAACCAATTATTTATTGGGTGGGCTGGAAACACAAGGACAAAAAAGCCTCACAGTACGGCATCCTTTAATCAGGAAAAAAAATCACTACATTATTTATGCTTCTCACTGTACGTATAAACAACCGCGATTTTCTTCTCATGGAATCAAAGCTGAAATTTACTTTGGGGTTTAAACACTATGCAGCACATTGTCAATCAGATTGCAAATGTGAGGGGGAGCGTAACTTCTGAACGCAACAAGCATAAAATATGACTAGCTGTTAGAACTGTCAGTAGGCACTGTATGAAAAAAACAACTAAATGTAAATAGCTACTAGATGAATAAAGGAGAAAGGGCCTTCAGGTTTTTTAATAACGAATAAGAAGACACAGGTTGGTGCCTATTCTTGCCTTGTGCTATGTGCAGTATGCTGGAAATCACCACATAGGCACCTGCTTCCTCGTAATGTTAGAGGTGCTATGTACACATATTTCTGTGAGAGTTGATTGCACCCATACTAATCAGTAGGAATCCCCAGGTATTCTCACATTTCCTCATTCCATTTGCTGTGTGGTTACTTTAGTTAAATAAGCCCACACCTACCCTTTGACCCTTCCCCTATGTACAAGGCTATGAAATGTAGGCATACATTAATAAATGGACGAATTAGTCACTAGGGACTTTGTCCATAATTTATGATGTCATTATGTCATCCATTAACTGCAGTGTCGAACTACTACTAAGTGAATGGAGTCTTAAGTATTTGTGATGCTGAACAATACTCTTAAATAACAGAAAAATACCTAAAAACCTAAAAAAATATATTCATCTTAACAGTAAATCTTTGTGCCACCGTACAAGTGATGGAGCAAGGAGTAAGGCGAGTAGAGGACATGCTTTATTTTTTACACTATTACTTTAGTAGCTCAATGGGCCTTTGTACTTATTTATTGTTAGGACTGTGCTATTCATGTTCAGTTTGATTAAACGACATTCGGTAATTTGTCTCATTAGTAGATTTTTTTTTATTTTTCAATTAGACTTATAGTAAATACTATTTAGTAAATTGAGAATTGTCGGAAATTCAAAGGGAATTTACTAATTTGCAAAGACCCACGATAATTACATCGGTGCTAACTTGCCTGAAACTGTCCCTCGCGGGCACCACCATTCTCTTCCAGCCAGTACTCTTTTTGCACATGCATGATAGTATAGCAGTAAGGTCTATGGAGGACACTGTGGAATCCTCCATAGATAGACTCAATTTCCCTGCACTGGTGATGACTGGGGGATTGACACTTCTTGATGATGGTAGCCATCATGTCCAGTGTCATGAAGTGTCAAGCATAGGAAAAATACTTTGTCTCGGTATATCTTTTAACTAAAAATAAAAAGTAACAATAGGGATTTGCTCTTTTAAATTAAGTGATATTTATCAAAAGTAATTATTTAAAATAATACACCCCTATTGTTGCTTTTTATTTCTATTTCCTTACTGTTCAGAGAGATACACAGTTTAATAGGATATTTTGAGTGCAACTGATTATTTATTTATTGACCCACATTTTATCATGTTGAGCGCCTATTTTCACAATTGTGTTTTATTCTGTATCTCTTGACTATCTAGGAATTTCACTGAAATTCCAATCTAGGCAATATGAGTATTCCATAATGATTTTATCTCTATGAAATACTAATATTGCAGTTGGATTTGGGGTTGACAATGCTGCTTTAAGGCCAAAGCAGCGGAACTGAACACATTCTGCAAGTCACTATGTTTCCAATTCATCTACTTAAATAAAATTTGACCTTAATCATCTGAGGAAAGAGATTTAGGGGTAATTATTTAAGATGACTTAAAGGTAGGCAGACAATGTAATAGAGCAGCAGGAAATGCTAACAGAATGCTTGGTTGTATAGGGAGAGGTATTAGCAGTAGAAAGAGGGAAGTGATCATGCCATTGTACAGAACACTGGTGAGACTTCACTTGGAGTATTGTACGCAGTACTGGAGACCGTATCTCCAGAAGGATATTGATACTTTAGAGAGAGTTTAGAGAAGGGCTACTAAACTGGTTCATGGATTGCAGGAGAAAACTTACAAGGAAAGGTTAAAGGAACTTAACATGTATAGCTTGGAGGAAAGACAAGACAGGGGGGATATGATAGAAACATTTAAATATATAAAGGGAATCAACACAGTAAAGGAGGAGACTATATTTAAAAGAAGAAAAACTGCCACAACAAGAGGAAATAGTTTTAAATTAGAGGGGAAAAGGTTTAAAAATAATATCAGGAAGTATTACTATACTGAGAGGGTAGTGGATGCATGGAACAGCCTTCCAGCTAAAGTGGTAGAGGTTAACACAGTAAAGGAGTTTAAGCATTCGTGGGATAGGCATAAGGCTATCCTAACTATAACATAAGGCTAGGGACTAATGAAAGTATTTAGAAAACTGGGCAGACTAGATGTGCAGAATGGTTCCTATCTGCCATCACATTCTATGTTTCTATGTTAATCACTTCCAATTCACATTGAATTCCAAACAATTAACTAGGGGTTTGACAAAACTTCAACTGAAAACTAAGTAGTTTCTGAAAAAACAGTCTATAAAATAGATGATTTTTATAATTCTTTAAAGCATGCATTTATTTTAAGAATTAACAAACTATAATGACATTTTAACATACTGCTGAATAATGAATTATAGATATGCAGTAAAAATTCATTTAAAACCTTTTTTGATCAGCTCTGCCCAGTTTTTCATATTTGGTTGGCAATAGATCGATATGCTTTTAATATCACTCTCATAAGACTCTGATGTAATATATATATATATATATATATATATATATATATATATATATATATATATATATATATATAGGGGTTATCAACTGAACTCTGTATTTTCACAATTACAAGTCTGTGTAGTCATTATAAGAAAGGGTTAGCAGCATATACAACAATTCCATCTGTTTGCTTCCTCATCCTATGGAAATGGTGACCACAATCTACTGTGTTTGGAAATAAATTTGATTTGACTAGTCTAGTGTTCCTGGCGCATCATTGAGAATCCCTCTCCTGGAGTCACCTACAAGTGGTTTCCTTTGCCTATTTAGGCACCATTGGGCTCATTATACAGAGCCTCGCACAGCTCTAAAATCCGTGAGTGCTACTATCGATTATTTTTCTGTTTATAGTACACACTATGTTTTGTATTTTGTTGTTGCAGGACTATAGCACCCCTGAACTACAGTACATTCTGTCCATAAGTATAATATTCTGTTTTTCATTTACACTTTAAGGGTGTACATTATTTACAGTGTGTTTTATCACATTTTGCATGCTTTTATGGTTCATTTTCACAAATAAAATCTAGCTGAAAAAAATTAGGAATTAATTCAAAATTGCTGATCTGCAAAAATACTCCAACTCAGCCATAGCTACCACTTGGCTAGTTTTGACTCAGTTTTGCCATTTAGATTTAAAGGGGACAATACATATTTAATTAATTGGATAGATATTGCTTATTATGAGTTTGTTCATTTTAGATAAAGTATTTTTCCTCGAAGGATACATTGAGTTTTATTTTGCCTTTAAGTATGTCCTGGGGGTTCAAGAACAAATAAAAAATATTACATGCCTCATTTTAAGTCATATGATTAATGTCCAGTGTTGCAAAATTGCTCTACAGTAAACCATAGAAACCACAATGCCATTTTTTAATTACTAGATCGTGTTACTGCTTTACGGGTATTAAAAAAGCTATTCTTTGGTGTTATACCTATACATAGAATAAAAGTATTAATAGATGTGAGAAGGAATGTTGTGTAATTGTGGATGGAAGATATATAAAACCAGCAAAATTCTACCTCTCTCTTCTAACTGTTCAATTCCCATGGAAGCATCCAGACGAGGTTTTGCACTTAATAGTGGAGTGTCTGCTGGTGAAGCCAGTTTCCAATTACTTACCTAATTACCAGTGTATTTTGGACCAGTCTGGGTCATTTCACTTTAAGTCTGATATTCCAGCCAAGGTAGCTGGTCTGCTACAAACTGAGATTTGTCTATTGCAGGGGTGCCCAAAGGGTAGATGTTGTAGAAGTACAGCTCCCATGAAACTTTGGATGCCTTTAGAATGACAAAGCATCATGGAAGGTGTAGTTTTAAACCATCTTGGAATCTATCTTTTGTGCACCCCTGGTCTATTGCATTGCTATTTTTGTTAGAAAGTGGAAATGCCAACTATAGTTAGATAATTCTTTGTATAGTTAGAGTTCAAGAAAGAGGAAGGGTTTATTTGGTGTGTTTTATAATTCACTAGCTGAATTGTTAAAGCAAATAAAATGCCTGAACCCAGTGTTAGAGTTTGGCCTGTGTTGCTGCTTACCCTAGAACACAGTGGTTAATTAAAGGTCCCAGACAAATCAACCTTTGACTACAAAGGACAATGTTTGTCACAATGGATACAAGCATCAAAACAGAATGTGGCAGTTGTGGTGTATAGATCATGCCCCAATAGTTTCACTGCTCAATGATCTGCCATTTAGGAGTTAAATCACCGTGTTGCTCACACAGCCTACATGAAGAGAACAATAGACTATTTTCAATCAAATCTTGCAGCTCAGTTTACTTTAGAACATGGGTAGGCATGCACGGGCCCTCCACATGTAGTTCACAACATCTGGAGTGCTGAAGGTTGCCTACACCTACTTTCGATGTTCTTATCTCCTGTTCTGTTTTCCTAATGCTTTAGTATTCCTGTCATTGGTTAGATAGGTCCCCTCTGATCATGTGTGCAAACAAATTAATAAAATAAAGATTTTTACTCACCTTTTTCCAGCCTTGATGCTTCCTCTGCACTGCTTACCGCTCAGCCTTTGGCAATGGCATAGTTCCTTCTATTATGGTCCAATCCAAGCACTAGGGACATGATGCACATGCGAGGTGAGAGCCATTTGTGTATTCAAGCATCCCCATAGGAAAGCATTGAATCTTTTCTGTGGGTACTTAAGCATAACATGACTAAGATTTACTTGGTCAGTGCTGTGGAAGCATCTCTAGCAGCTGTCAGTATGTTAGCAACTAGAGGAGAATTTAACCCTGCAATGTAAACAATATGGTTTCTAAAAAAGACTGCAATGTTTTACACTGCAGAGTAAAAACCAAAGGTCCTCTGGGCCCAGGGCACTTCATTGAGACAAAATGGCCTTGGTAACTCTAGTGGTCCTTTTCACACATATAAGCTTGTCGCAGGCTCTAGCAGGCAATTAACAGAGCAATAAATAATACATTCTAAAGAAACCGACTCTTTTTCAGAAAGTGAGTAAGGAAGTTGTATGAGACACAGGTGTGGCTAGGGCTACAAAAACAAAGTGATTTAAAGGGACACTCCAGAACCCTAAAGCAGTTTGCCAAAGTATTTTATATGGGAAGAAGTAGACAGTTACTAAAACCCCCTGCCTTGCAAAGATTTCTCATTGAGCTGCATTCGGAAGTCAGTGATTGGATAGCCATAGAAAGTCTATACAGAAATTTTTTATTTTGTTTTGGCAGTGAAGTGTTCCTTTAACTCGTAAATGGTAGAGAATTAAGCAGTAACAAATCAGGAACATGATGTATGCACCAATACTACTTGATTGATCTAAGGTTGTTTTTGTGGTTTGAGTGCCCCTTTAACCCCTTAAGGACCAAACTTCTGGAATAAAAGGGAATCATGACATGTCACACATGTCATGTGTCCTTAAGGGGTTAAGTCCCATACTGGAAAAAAATCGACACCTCTATATCTCACTTACTAAATCACTTAATAAATCACCAAGTGTATTAATTCGCTAAAAAGCATAACACTGCCTCTTCTAGCCATCACTAGTTGGCCCTTGTCAAAATCACTCAGATCTTTTCGCTTGCCAATTTTTCCTACTTCCAACACATGAAATGCAAGAACTGACTGTTCATTTACTTCCTAATGTATCCCACTTCTTAACAGGTGGCAGATGTCATTGTAACAAAAATCAATGTTTTTCACTTCACCTGTGGTGGTGAAGTAGGTTTTAATGTTGTGGCTGATCAGTGTGAGTCTATCAAACATCGAACAACATCAGGGTTCACTAAAGTGTTAATTGCTTGGAATTCAAAATGGGTTCAAACTGGAAAGAATTGAAATGGATCATTTCTACAGTTTAGCTGCTTTGGTGTAAAATTTGAAATTCACTTTGAATTCCCAGCAATTGACATTTTAATGAATGATCCTGTTACACTTCTGCAATGTATATCTACTTTGATGTTGCACTCTGGGCTGGGGGATGTTAAATCAAGAATACAAATATAAATGAGAGAGCGCAATGAAAATGATGAAAACAGTCATTAAAACAAATGGTAAACAATAATAAAAAAAGCCGCTAGAAACAATTTTCAAGTTTCAAAATACAATACAAATAAGAGAAAAGTCAGAGAGTACACAAAAGCAAATTAAAAGAGTTCCAACAGAAAAAAAGGATATTATTCCAAATTGATGGGAATAAAACAGTGATCTGTGTGTGCTTTGTAATTGGATCCAATCCAGGGTATCCACATTAAATTAGGAAAGACAAAAATATAATGTAACACTGTAAATATTCATTCCCCTAAAAAAAAAACCTATATGGAACTTATCTCTAAGTGCCACAAATAAGCATTGGTGCAGTATAACACAGTCAAGCAGGTGTGGTTACCACTTCGTCAATGAGGATCTGTAAGCCGATTCTGAGCAGCTGAGATGGTGCAGACCTCTCTTGTCTCTGAAAGACTTACCTTGAGAAACCCCGAGCTAAAGGGAGAAATGCGTAGTTCCATATAGGAGTTGTTTTAGGGAAATAAATATTTACAGTGTTACACTATATTTGTGTCTTTCCTAATTTAAAGGACCACTATAGGCACCCAGACCACTTCAGCTCAATGAAGTGGTCTGGGTGCCAGGTCCCTCTAGTTTTAACCCTGCAGCTGAGAACAATGCTAACAACTGCTATGTTTACACTGAGGGTTAATCCAGCCTCTAGTGGCTGTCTCACTGACAGCTGCTAGAGGCACTTCCGCGATTCTCACTGTGAAAATCACAGTGAGAAGACGCCAGCGTCCATAGGAATGCATTGAGTAATGCTTTCATATGGAATGATTGAATGCACGCGTCGCTCTTGCCGCGCATGCACATTCGGATCTGACATCGGCAGGGGGTGGAGAGTTCCCAGCACAGAGGGAGCCCGGTGCTGGAGAAAGGTAAGTGGCTGAAGGGGTTTTAATCCATGCAGCACAGCGGGAGGAGGGTCCTCAGGTTGGGAGGGACCTAATGACCCTATAGTGCCAGGAAAATGAGTTTGTTTTCCTGGCACTATAGTGTTCCTTTAAGGTGGATACAAGATTACATCTGGATTGGATACAATTGAAAGCACACACAGATCACTGTTTTATCCCCTTCAACTTGGAATGATATCCTTTTTTTCTGATCAAGAATATTGTTGGAACTCTTAATTTAGTTTTGTTTATTTTTCTCCCCACTTTTGTGTTAAATCAAACTTCCTTCTTTAATTCACCAAAAGGTACAGGTTCGATCAACAATTCAGTCTGCTACTGATTATAATCTTTGTAGCAAACTGAAATGTTGATTGAACCTGTATCTTTTTACTTTTTACCTTTACCACTTTTACTAGCTCATTTCGACACAGACATTTTATCCATCGGTCCCTCCTCACCTCTGTCAAAATCACTCAGATCTTTTCGCTTGCCAATTTTTCCTACTTCCAACACATGAAATGCAAGAACTGACTGTTCATTTACTTCCTAATGTATGCCACTTCTTAACAGGTGGCAGATGTCATTGTAACAAAAATCAATGTTTTTCACTTCATCTGTGGTGGTGAAGTAGGTTTTAATGTTGTGGCTGATCAGTGTGAGTCTATCAAACATCAAACAACATCAGGGTTCACTAAAGTGTTAATTGCTTGGAATTCAAAATGGGTTCAAACTGGAAAGAATTGAAATGGATCATTTCTACAGTTTAGCTGCTTTGGTGTAAAATTTGAAATTCACTTTGAATTCCCAGCAATTGACATTTTAATGAATGATCCTGTTACACTTCTGCAATGTATATCTACGTTGATGTTGCACTCTGGGCTGGGGGATGTTAAATCAAGAATACAAATATAAATGAGAGAGCGCAATGAAAATGATGAAAACAGTCATTAAAACAAATGGTAAACAATAATAAAAAAAGCCGCTAGAAACAATTTTCAAGTTTCAAAATACAATACAAATAAGAGAAAAGTCAGAGAGTACACAAAAGCAAATTAAAAGAGTTCCAACAGAAAAAAAGGATATTATTCCAAATTGATGGGAATAAAACAGTGATCTGTGTGTGCTTTGTAATTGGATCCAATCCAGGGTATCCACATTAAATTAGGAAAGACAAAAATATAATGTAACACTGTAAATATTCATTCCCCTAAAAAAAAAACCTATATGGAACTTATCTCTAAGTGCCACAAATAAGCATTGGTGCAGTATAACACAGTCAAGCAGGTGTGGTTACCACTTCGTCAATGAGGATCTGTAAGCCGATTCTGAGCAGCTGAGATGGTGCAGACCTCTCTTGTCTCTGAAAGACTTACCTTGAGAAACCCCGAGCTAAAGGGAGAAATGCGTAGTTCCATATAGGAGTTGTTTTAGGGAAATAAATATTTACAGTGTTACACTATATTTGTGTCTTTCCTAATTTAAAGGACCACTATAGGCACCCAGACCACTTCAGCTCAATGAAGTGGTCTGGGTGCCAGGTCCCTCTAGTTTTAACCCTGCAGCTGAGAACAATGCTAACAACTGCTATGTTTACACTGAGGGTTAATCCAGCCTCTAGTGGCTGTCTCACTGACAGCTGCTAGAGGCACTTCCGCGATTCTCACTGTGAAAATCACAGTGAGAAGACGCCAGCGTCCATAGGAATGCATTGAGTAATGCTTTCATATGGAATGATTGAATGCACGCGTCGCTCTTGCCGCGCATGCACATTCGGATCTGACATCGGCAGGGGGTGGAGAGTTCCCAGCACAGAGGGAGCCCGGTGCTGGAGAAAGGTAAGTGGCTGAAGGGGTTTTAATCCATGCAGCACAGCGGGAGGAGGGTCCTCAGGTTGGGAGGGACCTAATGACCCTATAGTGCCAGGAAAATGAGTTTGTTTTCCTGGCACTATAGTGTTCCTTTAAGGTGGATACAAGATTACATCTGGATTGGATACAATTGAAAGCACACACAGATCACTGTTTTATCCCCTTCAACTTGGAATGATATCCTTTTTTTCTGATCAAGAATATTGTTGGAACTCTTAATTTAGTTTTGTTTATTTTTCTCCCCACTTTTGTGTTAAATCAAACTTCCTTCTTTAATTCACCAAAAGGTACAGGTTCGATCAACAATTCAGTCTGCTACTGATTATAATCTTTGTAGCAAACTGAAATGTTGATTGAACCTGTATCTTTTTACTTTTTACCTTTACCACTTTTACTAGCTCATTTCGACACAGACATTTTATCCATCGGTCCCTCCTCACCTCTGTCAAAATCACTCAGATCTTTTCGCTTGCCAATTTTTCCTACTTCCAACACATGAAATGCAAGAACTGACTGTTCATTTACTTCCTAATGTATGCCACTTCTTAACAGGTGGCAGATGTCATTGTAACAAAAATCAATGTTTTTCACTTCATCTGTGGTGGTGAAGTAGGTTTTAATGTTGTGGCTGATCAGTGTGAGTCTATCAAACATCAAACAACATCAGGGTTCACTAAAGTGTTAATTGCTTGGAATTCAAAATGGGTTCAAACTGGAAAGAATTGAAATGGATCATTTCTACAGTTTAGCTGCTTTGGTGTAAAATTTGAAATTCACTTTGAATTCCCAGCAATTGACATTTTAATGAATGATCCTGTTACACTTCTGCAATGTATATCTACTTTGATGTTGCACTCTGGGCTGGGGGATGTTAAATCAAGAATACAAATATAAATGAGAGAGCGCAATGAAAATGATGAAAACAGTCATTAAAACAAATGGTAAACAATAATAAAAAAAGCCGCTAGAAACAATTTTCAAGTTTCAAAATACAATACAAATAAGAGAAAAGTCAGAGAGTACACAAAAGCAAATTAAAAGAGTTCCAACAGAAAAAAAGGATATTATTCCAAATTGATGGGAATAAAACAGTGATCTGTGTGTGCTTTGTAATTGGATTCAATCCAGGGTATCCACATTAAATTAGGAAAGACAAAAATATAATGTAACACTGTAAATATTCATTCCCCTAAAAAAAAAAGCTATATGGAACTCTTACAAGATTTGGTGGTGGAACTTATCTCTAAGTGCCACAAATAAGCATTGGTGCAGTATAACACAGTCAAGCAGGTGTGGTTACCACTTCGTCAATGAGGATCTGTAAGCCGATTCTGAGCAGCTGAGCTGGTGCAGACCTCTCTTGTCTCTGAAAGACTTACCTTGAGAAACCCCGAGCTAAAGGGAGAAATGCGTAGTTCCATATAGGAGTTGTTTTAGGGAAATAAATATTTACAGTGTTACACTATATTTGTGTCTTTCCTAATTTAAAGGACCACTATAGGCACCCAGACCACTTCAGCTCAATGAAGTGGTCTGGGTGCCAGGTCCCTCTAGTTTTAACCCTGCAGCTGAGAACAATGCTAACAACTGCTATGTTTACACTGAGGGTTAATCCAGCCTCTAGTGGCTGTCTCACTGACAGCTGCTAGAGGCACTTCCGCGATTCTCACTGTGAAAATCACAGTGAGAAGACGCCAGCGTCCATAGGAAAGCATTGAGTAATGCTTTCATATGGAATGATTGAATGCACGCGTGGCTCTTGCCGCGCATGCACATTCGGATCTGACGTCGGCAAGGGGTGGAGAGTTCCCAGCACAGAGGGAGCCCGGTGCTGGAGAAAGGTAAGTGGCTGAAGGGGTTTTAATCCATGCAGCACAGCGCGAGGAGGGCCCTCAGGTTGGGGGGACCTAATGACCCTATAGTGCCAGGAAAACGAGTTTGTTTTCCTGGCACTAGAGCGCTCCTTTAAGGTGGATACAAGATTACACCTGGAATGGATACAATTGAAAGCACACACAGATCACTGTTTTATCCCCTTCAACTTGGAATAATATCCTTTTTCTTTCTGATCAAGAATATTGTTGGAACTCTTAATTTAGTTTTGTTTACTCTGACTTTTCTCCCCACTTTTGTGTTAAATCAAACTTCCTTCTTTAATTCACCAAAAGGTACAGGTTCGATCAACAATTCAGTCTGCTACTGATTATAGTCTTTGTAGCAAACTGAAACGTTGATTGAACCTGTATTTTTGTACTTTTTACCTTTACCACTTTTAGAAGCTCATTTCGACACAGACATTTTATCCATCAGTCCCTCCTCCCCTCTGACATGCTGTTAATTCTCTTTAATTGTCTTTACAGCTTTCTCATAGATTGTAAGCTCATTTGAGCAGGACCTTGTTCACCATTTGTCTATGTTAATATTTTGTATGTCAGTTACTTGTTGACAAATATCCCCATTCTATAACTGTAAAACACTACAGAATATGTTGGCGCTATATACATGCCACTTATAATAATAATGAAGGAAATTTGATTTAACACAAACCCTCAGTGTAATCAGTTTTCAACATATAGTTCCAGCATTAACATCATTTTATTTTTAGAATTAAATCTATCTAGAACAGTTTAAATTCCCATTAATTTCATGAATATTGTTTTTTTTTTTTCATTTAGTTTTTTTGTTTAATCATTTCAAGTCAGTCAGATAGCCCGGGCACTACTCTTTGCAGTTTCAAACAAGACCCCTAAAAGGTTTGGTTTGGGAATAGATACAAATGTATATGATATGTAAGGTAACAGATGTTTTAATAAAATGAAATTAAGTCGGCATATGCTAATGAAGCCAGGCACATAATAATTTTAAACCTGCCTGATAATTAAAAGGAAATTGATGTGGTTAATTCCAAACAAAACATCACTGCATCATTTATCTAATATAAAGATTACAAAACAGTTAGCTGTAGATAGTTAAAAAAGCAACTTTAGGGCAAAACACCTTAGTTAAAAACAAAGGAATTTATTCACTAATTTTCAAATGTTAGTAAATTGAATTGATTCGAATTTCAAAATTTAGGATACAACAACCAAACTGTTATTGTAACTGGGTTGAATTTTTTTTTTTCTATATCAGAAGTTTTCACCTACATTTTGAAATTCAATTTTCAAATCATTTACTTTTAGAGCTTAGAGCATAAACCCAACCATATACCAAAGTCAATGTTTCTACATTAGATTATATTTTGCAAGTTAAAATGTATTGTTCTATAGTTTTCATACATAAACACATTTAATTAATTCTAATAAGAATTGCAATGCATTCACTACTCAAATATAGAGTAATTATAATGCTATCACTACAGAGATGTGTATTTTACATTTTTAGGCCCTTTGGCAACATTTTAAGTTCCCCATTAAAAAAATAAAAAAAAATGTAATTGCTGTATACCTATATTCTATCCAATATTATTTTATTTAGTAAATCTAGTAATCTTTATTTAATATTGAGATTTTGATACATATTCAATAAACTGGTTAGTAAATGCAACTAAAAGTTATGTTAATCATATTTTGTTTTTCCAAATCACCTTAAAACGACAGATGTTAGCACTGCATGTGGTTTGCGTAGGTCTGTCATAGCAAGGGTTAATATCATGCATGTCTGAGGATGTCCCTGGTGTGAATTTAGCAGGATTACTTATGTGTTAATGCTGACTGAATTCAATTTCCACACCATTCTTTTGCACCCATTGTCTCCTTTTGTTGTAGGGTCTGCCATCTGCCACCAACTAACACACTGTGATTAATCAATGCAGAGGTCCCATCAAATGTTTCCCAGGATTTTAGCCTTTGAAAGAAACCAGTTACCAAAAGCCTTGGGGCTCTTGTTTTTTATGTGCTCCCCTTAAATGTCTGTTTTTTTTTTTCTAATGTCATATCAGTAATAATTAGCATGTAGATATATACATATTTAAAAATATATAAACACTACAATATTTATAAGTAACATATCACAAATGTAATATATATATATATATATATATATATATATAAAATATACAGTTTGTTATATATTACTTATACATATTTCAATTATTACATATATATCATATATTTTATACATTGTTTTGTATATATCATTATATTAATATGAATCTATAGTTTAGAAATTATTTTTTTGGTGATTAACCCCATGAACATTCTACAAGCTCTTCAGCTATATGGATTTAGGAACTGATATGACATAAGAAAGATGCCATGTTTACATCCCTGGTCCTATGGTAGGACTGCCCAACGCTGCCCTGTAAGTGCTTTGCAATATGTTCATTTAACATGTAATTTACCAATTAGATGTGTGACTCAATAAACACAATAAGTTAAATATCTTTAAAACCTGTCTTTGTCTGCAGACCAAGAGTTGTATAGACTCAATGATACAATAAGCCTGTTACATTACTGATGTTGTGTTTAAATGTGGAATGGCATTGAAGCACTAAAAGCCCTTTCAAACATGCAATTAATCATTTTATCCATTGCCATTAAATATTTAAATCCGATTCCTACTGAGAAGAACTGAGGATTGTGTTTATACAATGGGAGATGTTTTCAATCCTTTTAATTTAAAACAAGTATCCCTTATAAATAGATTTCTAGATACATATTACATAACACTACATTAAATATAGTATAACACATGACCATGGATATCCCACTGCTGAAAACACCTCTGGAATAGCAAATTAAAATCAATATGACATACACAAAAGAAAAGACCTGCTTCATGATTCAATTTAGGCCTTTGTTGTGTAAAACATTAATTTATAAGCCTCGGAATCGGGCTTATAATTCATTACATTTTAAACTACCAATGGATATATTTTTTTGCTGATCAGAAACACGCTAATTTCCTTTGAAATTTCAGTGTAGTCATTCAACCAAAAATATAAATACAAATGACTAATTACATGATGTACGTACATCCCCTTGATTTATAACACGCCAGCTAAATCCAATTGAAAATCAAGGATGTGCCACTCCTGTTCTCCTTATGACCCCATCTATTGCTGTGTTCATTCATTGTGATGTTTACCATCTGTCCCTGGTTTAGCGGCTTCTCTCAAGATTTTGTTCATATTTTCAGACCCTTTGCCATTAATACAAAATGTCATCTACGGACACATTGCAAGATTCTCTGCCTCTAGTTGTCTGAGCTCACAATTTGCCAGATCAGAATATAGTACAGTGTACATAATGCCATGTAGCTAGGGCTATGGACTGTATCATTATTCCAGAGAGAGAATTGGTAAATAATTGTGAGGTTGGTTTATGACAATTTATTTTAAAAAAAGCTATCGATGTATCCATCCATATCACTTGATCTAACCCTATTTTACGTCCTCAATACAATAGAAATTGGGCATATTTGATTTCTAGGGGTCAAATAAAAAGGTCCAGAGATGATCCAATGATGGTCTTCATATACCTTTGGTAATCTATATAAATATAGATGGATGTATATACTAGTCTGTTCTAATATTTCCCAGATGAACTGGGCAGAAACTGGACATTCTGTACTTTGGCAGAAATCTAAAAATTACTGACAAATCTTATTTACAAAGTTTTCTTACAGATCAATGAATACATTTTATTTTATTTATCTAGACACGTTCCAATGGAAAAATACTGATGTATTTCATCTAACCGAATCTTTTGAGTAAGTGAAAAGCAGTCTGACATTACATTAAAAGAATTAGTTGTGCTTTTGGGCATGATACGTGATTATATCTGTATCTGTTTTTCAAAGATTAGTGCATTTACAATCTTCAACCAGCAACATACTCACAATGCAAATCACGTTTTCTTTACCTTAACCCATTAAATGCTGAACATTTGTGGGAAACCACTTGGCCTTTAAATTTCTAAATGTACCTAGTTACAGACTTTTCAAAAATATAAACATGTCACCTACATGCTGTGCTGACCTATAAGGTCTCTTTGAACACATGTGAAGCAGGTACAGCTCATACAGTGAACACAGATGAAAAATTGTTGAATCATTCATATGAATAGATTGTTGTGTAAATCCTCAGTTATTGCACTCCCCTCCATTGTCAAATTATGAAGGTTTTATTTAACGTGTTAAATATGCTATATTGCATGAATGAAATTAAAGGTTTCCTTCTATATATTCTGCTGACTCACAATAGCTTTAAGCTGTCCTGGTTGTGAACTGTGCTCCCCCTTTACCACCCACGATGCCCCCTCCTCATCCCTTGATTACCTTGATACATAGTGTCACCCATACGCAGTACATTGAGATACATCCAATCTACAGAGGTAGAGACGCTCTGATCAGAAGCATTGCAGATGGGAGCTGTCCACAAGCTTAAAGTGCTGAATTGCTGCGGCTAGGTTAATTTTACCAGTGTCTGACAAAAGGGTAATGTACAAATACCTGTTACACGTTAGAATGCTTCGGGAGAGGAACAGCTGTCCATCCCAGGCAAAGCAACGCTATCTGTCCTTTTGGTCAGCTCCAATGGATGCGAATTCACCAGCAGACGTGGGTACCAAGCAATGAAAAAAAGAGAAAGGCAGAGGATAGAGGGTCCTCCCAGGCAGAGGCAGTCTTAGAGGTACACAGAGGCAGTCCACACCCTCAGCTCCTGGCTGCTTTACATTGAAGCTGTTTCATTCTCATGATGTCATCAGTTGCATCCCTGTAGAAAAAAAAAAATATATAGTTTGCTTGTTTTTAATATTTCACAGTAAATTTGGTGAGGGAAGTAAAATTACATAATCTGAGCTATTTTAGCAATGCCAGTTTTTTCTTGTTTCAATAATCACGTGTGTTTCATAGATGTAATTGGTTTGCATATTGTAAATAGATTTACTGAACAGCTTATTTATGTTTAATTTTCATAGCAGTATATACATTACAAGTGGAATGTTTATATTTCTATGTTTAGCAAATGAGGGATTGTGTACTAAACAGTGAATTTCAGTAAACTAGAAAAATGTATCGATAGTTAAAATAGATGATTAAAAAAAGCCAACACAGCCATAGTCACAACTTACTATAAAACAGGGGTACGAGCCTCAGCACTCCAGGTGTTATGGACTACATCTCTTATAATACTCTTGTGATCATAATGCTAGTAAAACATCATGGGTGGGAGACGTAGTCCACAAAATCTTGAGTGCCGAAGATTGCCTACTCCTGCTATAGAATAACCCAGACAATGTTATTTACTAGCCTGTGTTTTGCTGGTGGTTAACCATGGAATTTTAAATTTCAGTGAATTGAAATACTATACAGCTTGTAGTGACATGGAAACTAAATATAGTGGACATAGTGATAACATGTATATGCATCATGAAAAGCCATCTGGAGCATTGCATCTATGGGAATTTGTGACAGCTAGTAAATAAATGTTAAGGTAGAATGCAATGAAAATAGGACAATATTTTTGGTCCGGTAGCCTGAGTACAGAAAGACATTTTAAGATCACAAATGGTAGGTGTGCAGATAGTCAAGGGATGCAATCAATATGCCTGTGTGAGTTCTCCTCACACAGACACAAGCAGTACTTTCCTTTGCCCGCTGATGACTCAGTACATCTAGGAAATTGTCATTAGCGCAGAGTTTTTATGTTTATGCATTTAACAATATATATGTATGTTACTGAGGCATTTAAATATAGTTGTTTAATGCTTGCCACAGCTGAACACAGCTGCTTATTGAAATATGTATAAAGTCACAAATAGTCTTATTATTACTTAGGTGTATAGCCTTAAGGTTTATGGGCTTTTTGATTGAAACCTTTTTTTCCTCTTAGTGTCAATGGTTAATTCCTTTTTAAGTACATGAATATGCTAACTACGCATGCGCAATAATGACCGCTGGAAACGAGGTAACATCAATGCGGCTGGAATACACGGAAGTAAGAATGCGCCCGAAGTGATGACATCAGTGGAACACACGGAAGTGCAGTGTACAACACTGACATCACTTCCGGTGACGCGGAAGAAACATAGAGCGGGAGAATCAACTTCACACAGCTGATACTCGGCAAGAAGATAACCGGTCCGGAACCGAGCATGAACATGCCCACCACACCACCAATGGGAATAGGAGAAGCCCTATATATTGGGACTGTGAGAGGGTGGAAGGTATAGCGGGAGTTTTTTCTGTATTGTATAATTTTATTTATGTTTTAACTTAAGAGGCCCCTGAAGAAGTTCTAATTGAACAAAATGCGTTGGACCAGTGCTTTTTTATTAATAAATATTTTTCTACTGTTATTTTGGTTCCTGCTCTATTTCGGTATCCGAATCTCAGAGTCCAGTGGATCCATGCTCTAACCCCCTAAAGGATTGGGGTGGCACCCTGAATGCACATTCATAGTCTACAACTTGTGAGTGCTTCTGATAGCGTGTCTGTTGTTTCATGCATATTATGGTTTTCACTATGAGTTGTTCATTTTTTATAGGTTTTGACAACGGTTTCCACCTGTTTCTCGTATACATTAGCCCAGAGATCAGATTCGGTAAGTTGCAGTAGACAGAGTACTGCTAGGATCTGTATTGAGAAGAACACACACACTCAACACTATTTTGCCTGATACCTACTCAATTCTCTATGATCCCCATTTTAGTAAATAAGCTCTAAATGTGAGTTAGAATTATGAGGAAATATTATTTTAAGGGTCTTTGCCTAGGACATGAAACATTCTTTAACCCCTTGATGATTTTACCATACTGTTCCACAGAAATAGTGTCTGTCAGATTGTCTTTTTTTTCCCACCTAAAATAAGGCTCCAAGTTTTTCCCCTACAGCCTTTTAACGAATTTCAGCCAAAGCACTTAACCTGAAAATAGAACAATTTTTTGGTAAGGCCAAATTTCAACAACAGGACCATTCGTCTCATCTGAATTTTGAGAAAAAGAGTTGGGATAACTAATTAGGGTAACCAAAGTTGCACAAAAATTGGCCAATAAGTGAACTGCAAAATATATACATAACATTTATGTTGCATTTGAGGTACATTTGTCTCTATTTTGGTTCACAGGTCAAGCGAAAAAAACTAACCAATAGAGGGAAAAAAAGAGGAGCAGTATATATATATATATATATATATATATATATATATATATATATATATATATATTATATTATTTTTTTATTAAATATATAAATATATATATTTTTCCTGGCTAATCATGGCAGCATATACACATGGGTTAGCTCCTCCCCTACAGCCGATAGGACAGGAAAACCACCAAGGTTTTAAAAGGAGGCTCCATCCCTAAGGTCCTCAGTCTTTTTCCTGTCCTACAGCCCTTAGGACGTGAGCAATTTGCTCCCTTTACTTATGGACATGTATGTTGTTTTATCTTCATTACTTTATTTTCTGTGTTACTGTAGTACATTTTGCAGTTATGCTTTTATGCTGTGATGCATTTAAGCTTTGATATCTTTAACCCCTTAAGGACCAAACTTGTGGAATAAAAAGGGAACCATGACATGTCACACATGTCGGGTGTCCTTAAGAGGTTAAACTAGTACATTATACATCTGTACCTTATTTTTAAGATTGTGGTACATAACGCAGTTGTGCTTTTACATGGAAGCATTTAAGCTGTTGCATTTAAAACTGTTTTCATTTAAAGTTGCATGTAATACCGCAAGTCATTGAAGACTGCAGTTTGTTTGAAAACTGTGATACATTTTGAAAACTGTGATACATTTTGAAAACTGTGATACATTTTGAAAACTGTGATACATTTTGGAAACTGTGATACATTTTGGAAACTGTGTTACCTTTTATACCTTGCGGCCTTTAGACTGTGCTTATAGTGTTATTGAGAGTCCAGAACTCCACCTGGTTCCATTATCTGGAGGATCTACTTGTGATAGCCTTAGACCCTCAGAAGGCAGGCACACATAGGTATATAGTTCTTTCATAACTCCTAAAGTTTGGCTGCTTGATGAATATCAAGAAAAGCAGTTTCAGACCAGCTCAGTGATTGACATTCCTGAGTTGAAAATTCTAGGCTCTGCTTTTCCCTATCTCGGGAACAGTTCCACAGATTTTAAAGGTTTTCTCTCACAGTTTCTTCATTTCTGCTTGGTAACAGCAAGAAAATAGATGCAACTACTAGGAATCCGGGCTTCCACCAGCAGACTTGTCAGAGGGGCCCAATGGCATCTCTGGATTCCTTACAGATCCTTCCTATCTTGGTCTAACAAGAGAGAGATTATTGGAGCCAGCCACTTACTATGTCCTCATCAGTGGAGTTGCACCTTACCCTGGCTGCTGAAAGAGGGATTGGATCTCTGAGTTTCCAGTGAACAGAACCTCATTGGTCAATTATTAGCTCGAATTCCAGTTTTTATAAGATTGGTTGCACAGTGTTTGGACCATGTTGCACAATATTTCCATTCATTTGTATGGAATTAAGAGTCATTTTCTAGGCTCTTCTTCACTTCAGAGGCTTGCTGAAGAACGAGTGGGTCCAAATTTGCTCAAATTTCAATGCAACTGTATCCTATATCTACCAAGATGGGTATCACAGATACGTATTGATGGAATTCCAGCCCATAATGATCAGGGCACAGAAGAACAACCAGTGGCTCAGAATACCATGGCTGTTTGCTGGAGCCGAATAACTGTGCCAAGGTGGATTGGCAACCATGTCCTTACGGATCCTCGTGGTTGACGCAGATTGTTTGATGGCCATTTCTTGAAACTACCAGGTCCAGAAGTATTTTTTACATGCTAGGACCAGAATGCTCAGGTTCAGGATACACTGGCTCAAATTTAGAATTTTAGTATGATGTACATATTTTCCTGTTTTCAACTTTCTTAAAAAGGCAATGCAAGAGGTGACAGTGGAAGACCGTGTCGACTCTAATTCCTATGATGAATAAGATGATTCTGGAACCTCCAAGGGAAATTCCTGTACGTCCAGACCTATTACAAGGCCCCATGACACACCAGGATCCTCAAGTTCTGGTGTTGATGCGGGAGTCCATATTAGTATAGGCATCCCTGAGACGGTCATTGAGATCCTCTTACAATCCTATACAGGCTTTACTAAGCTTGACATGCTTTTGTCTGTTGGAATTACTCCTCGTTCAGGCCTTGAAAGGTTCTGTGTTATAACACTCTAGAGGAACACTTAGCTGCACTTTGCTTCATATAGGCATTGATTGAAATCATGCCTCCACTGAGTGTGGTGAAGCCAATATGTGACATACCAATGGTCACACGAGCCCTGACTGAACCATTATTCGAACCTCTAGAAGGAGCTTCCATGGTGGTAGCACAGAAAGTGCTGGTGGCTGGTACCCCAGCAAGAATAATGGGTGAACTCCAGGCTTGGTCCTGTGAGAACCCCCTTTCACTACTTTTCAACAGATATGATCGTCTTGCATTTGGCACCTGAAGATCCTGCCTTTGGTGAATGCTTATCTAGGTCATTCTCTACCTGTACTGAAGGGTACCGATTGAGCGTTGATGCCCCTGGTGTTTTGCTTCATGTAAGCAACAACTGAACTCAAGCCTCCGCTGAGGGTGTTGAAACCAATATGTGATGTACCACTGGTCTCACAGACTCTGACTGTACTTCTAGCAAGAGCTTCCATGATGTTAGCCCAGACGTTGCTGTTGCTGTTGCTAG